GTCTCATTAGCCCCCATCAGCCCAGTGAGAAATTGATTTTCAACCACCTGGGAAAAGCTTTGTATATAATTCAAGGGCCTAGGAAATAACAGTTCTGAAATGATCTGGAACTTTGCCTTTCACAGAAATGCATGATATTTTCCCTCAAAAGTCTGGGTTTAGGAGGAAAATGTAACAGTTTCTTTTTCCGAATGTTTCAATCTTGGAAGTATCTGGAGTAGTTGTAGAAAGCTACCTCCCTGATTCTAGGGGATCTAGAACTCTCTAATTTTCACCTCAATCACATATTATGTGGATATAGGACAATAAGGAGACTAATGGAAGGTGTCACTAGGAAAATTCCTTGATAAATAAGTCAGAATACTATATTCCTTTGTAATTGGCAGATGTGACTTAACATTGAAGATGTGATTAATAAGCTGTGGATAATAAACTCAGAAGGACCTATGTGTGTCACTCAAAGCTGGTGGAGAAAGAGTGAGGAAGCTGTGTTTAGGGCAGCCAGTGTCCTGCTCCAAGTAGGGAAAGATTAGTTCTTATAAGCCTGTAGATAAATCATTACTCTATATGCTTTATTTCCTCACAAAATAATGAACAGTCTTTCAAGAAGTTACCAACATTAAACCTTAATTCAATGACAAGGAAATACACCTAAGCTATTGCAAGATTATGATGTCTAAATGGACTTCATTAACTCATATTCATTTTTTAAAGATTAATTGATCTTGCTTCTGTAGATTACCTTTTTTTTTTTTAAGTAATTCTAAACTTATTTGGGAATAGGTGGTTAGGAAATTGGTTAATTTTTGCAACACTTTAATTTTTTTTTTTAAAGCACTATATAAAATACAGTAGAATCTTGTTTTGATAGCTTATTATTTCAAAGTGAGTCAAATTCTGCTCTTTTCAAATACAATAATTATATACAGTAAATGTATGAACATGACAGTTATCTATAATGGCATGTGTTACTTATGTGAAAAAATTTCTACTCTATTTATAAACATGAAGCCAATTGAAATTAATTTTGAGAATTTTTTGAGGATTTCTATTTATCTTTAGGATGTGGCAAAACCAGAGATGGAAATCACTATTGTTTTCTTATTGTCTGAGCTGGATCTCACTTTTCTAGCCTTTGGTCACCAATGGGAAATTAATCAGAATGAAATGGCTGAAATTGCTATCTTTTAAAATGGAAAGACCAGGTCTCTACTAGTATTTTAAAGCAGAAAAATGTGAAATAATCTGATTCTTATTTTATTTTGCTAGGAAATTCTGGCAAGTATTGTTGTCAACTGGAGGTTATGGTACAGAAACCAATTTTTTTTTCTATTTTGAGAGAGTATATTTAAGATTATAACACCAAAATGGCCACTAAGTGATCCTTTATTTCCAGAGCACAATGGCGAACAGACTCTATTATGTAAAATCCAATCTTGTATGTCACCCCTTGGGCAGTTATATGGATCTTTTTCACCTCCCAACTAGAATAATATAATACATCTAATGTAGCAGGCTGTAGTTTTAATGAGTACAGCATGGTAACCTACTTTAAATCACTGACATGAAAGCCACTGACAGCAAAAAAGAGATGTGCTTCTGGGTATGTATTGACTCCACACCTGCTGCAGGGCACAGATCTGTGATTCTATATTTATTACTTAACCTATTTTATTATTATTAAATTATATATCATATCATATATTATTAACCTATATTACTTAACCTATCGTTTGCCTGAATAAAGCATCAGGTATCCGACAGGCTTCCTCTCCCTCTGTCTACTCCTGAAGTAGTTGTGGTCAAAAGCAAAATTGTAGTTGACATAGATTACTTCTAGAGAGAGAGCATCTGTGGTGAGTATTCTTAAGATGATATATTTTTACAGCCTGATCTAGGAAAACAAGTGCTGGTATTATAATAAGAAGATCAGAGTTCAAGCATTAGTTCTGACATTTACTAGAAGTATGAACCTGGGCAAGCCACTGACTCTCTGAGCCTCAGTTTACTCATTTGTAAAATAAGGATGACACTCAGATTTCCTATCAGGAAATGAAGCGGATTTTTTCAACCTTAAAACATTTTTAAAATGAGCTATTATTGTTAATATTATCACTTGACTTTTAGTATAATTGTCTTTGCTTCATTTTGTGTCTACATACAAAGCTTTGGCAATAAACTAAGACCCTTTCAAAATCATCAAATGTATTTGAAAAGAATTACATTCAGTTCTTGCTAATTTTTTAGCAAGAAAAAAATGTCAGGAGAGGCTGTACTGAACCTGAAACTGGAGCTGATTACCCCTAATTTTTCTCAGTTGTCATAGCAACAATGCTAAGGGACACATTTAAAATATAAATTTTGAACATAAACATTCCAGAAATCTGTACATACTTATGTTTCTGTAACTCTGTTATTTGACAGAATTTTTCTTCATAAGGATATTGGGAATGTTTTTCTAAAAAATAAAAAAAAATCATTTAGGTTATATGGCTAAGACAGCAAAATGTCACTTTTTAAAATAAAATATTGAAAATTATTTTCTTCAACTAAAAGACTGTGTTCAAACTTTAGATTTTAAAAAAATGCAAAGAACAGCTTTATGCTTACTCAAGTCTAGAACTTTGGACTGAGCTACAGGGAACAATTGCTCAATATTAAAGCATTTTAGCAAACAACATATTCTGGTCTCTATGTTCCTTAGAGCCACAGGCACATGGCTATTAAGGCTGCTTTGAATGGACTTTTTACATTTGTATTATATATGGCCCTCCTCTGCCAATAGATAAAATGGGGCTTTGGAAGCTTTTGCCTCAGAAAAACTTTTGCATAAAAAAAGAGGCTCAAACCCTTTTTACTCATATTTCAAATTTGATTGATTCAGCTTTGGATGTTGAACAGTAACTGAAGAAAAATTGAGTTAAAAATCCAGTTATAATTAGTCAAGAATTCATAATATACTTGTATTTTGGATTAGGGATTCAGTTACTCCATACTTCTTAATTGAATCATGTTTTAAGGCTATATGTCATCTTCCACTATCCTAAAAGCCAAGAGATTTAACAGAGATTTACTTAAGTCAATCAGGGAATAAATAAGTCACTTAACTTTCTGCAGGTTTGAGGATATAAAAGCCTCACCTATAGGTTTCACCACATTCTAATCTCTGGGACCGGTCTGGTTGGCTGGCAAGGGAAAGGGAAGAACCAACAAATTTATAACCTTGATAGCTCAAGCCTGTTTCCATTCCTGCTCTAATTTTGTATCCTGGGTTTTATAATTAGGCTCTTACCTTAACGCTTGTGACCAAGTCCCAGCCTTGTATCCCAGTTTAGTTCCACCATGTCTGTACCTTTACCAGTATCCCTGGCCTGATTTCAGGGTTAGAACCCACCCATAGTCACCCCAACATCTAGAAAATGAGTTTTTGACACCTGGCTCTTCTGAAAAAAGTTTAAAAAGAACAGACACCAATCACTCTGAGATTGTATAACTTTAATTTAGCCTGGTGGTGAAAGGATAGACTAGTATTTCAATGACTCTTCTAATCTTATCATTCTGAATTTTTCATTTACTATAACATACTTTCAAGAAAGAATGATGAAATTTTAAAATATCTTCAAAGAGATCATTTTTTCCCATTACAATATGGACGGCCCCAATCAGATTGTACTGAAATACTATCTTCAGTTCTAGGTATGACATTTTAGAAGGACTGGAGCAGAAAAGGGCAACCTTGATGGTAGAAAGTGGAAGGTAGAAGGTAGAAGAAACCATGCCATAGGATAATCCATGGAAGCGAATTCACGTTTAGCTTAGTGAAATCTTAGGGACGGGAACATAGCTGACTTCAAGTATTTGAAGGATTGTCAGAAGAGCCATTAAGATTTGTTATGCTCAGTACAAGGAAACCAGCGGGTAGAAGTTACAAAGAGCTACTAAGAGCAGTGAATGGAAGTTGTGAAGCAGCAGACGTGGGTTTGATAGAAGCAGGATGGGCCCCCTCTGGAGGCATGAGTTCCACTTCACTAGGAAAATTCATGTGAAGGCTAGCCAGGAAGCCATTTACAATGTCGTAGAGGGGAATTCCTGTAACATTAGGGGTTGAACTAGATGGCATTTGAGGCTTTTTCCAATTCTGAGATTCTGTCATTTTGTGAATGCCAGTTAAACATCTTACATGACAAAACATCTAGTGTTTATGGTCTTTGGAGGGTGAAATTCTATTTTTGAACAAAGGGAAAGACTTTTGACTAGCTTAAGATTTAGCTCAATGAGGCTGTAAATAGACTAAAACAATTGAATGAATGACATTATAAGGGTTGGATGATTTCCAAGACATGACACAGAAACTAAGATAGAAACTAAGATAAGAACTTTTTAATCCATTTTAACTCACACCTGAGGCAGGAATTTAGTCTGATTAAATAGAAAAAAAAAACCAAAACACCACATTGAATTTAGAATCAGAAAACCTGGATTCAAATACTGGCTCTGCTATTTACTATCTGTGTGACCTGGACTTTATTTAACTTCTCTGACCCACACTTTCCTTATCTGTAAAATGGGAAGGGGAGATAACCTTTATGATCTCTTAGCCCTCTGCCATCTCTATTACTGATATCTATGAAGGTACGGAATTAAAATTATATTAGAAGGCACTGGTTTGTTACAAAGTTTTCATATACTTTAGTTTTAATTAATACAAAAACTGCCAGAAAGTCTCTCTCTTCAAGTTTTAAAATTTCATATCTAGTGTTATTATGGGAAAAATCAATGTTATCAGTAGATCACAATTCTTAAAAGTTTCAAAAGTAGAAGACAACTATAAGAATTGGAAACTGAACTTGAATCACATATGGAAGTGTTTACCTAAACTGAAATATTTCTATTTGAGACCCATTTTGCCCACTCTTTGCTTTGACATTTGTGCTTATTTCAGTTGACAATGTCACTTGGAAAATGAGGAAAGGATTGCTTAAAACCTTAAAATTACTTACCAGATCTAGGGCAGCTGCCAGGATGGAGGCATCAGGAATAGTACCTGGTTCACAGCAGTTTAACAGAAACTGAAATCTCTTCATGCCTTGTCTAATTGCTCCCAGATTTACTACATTCTTGTATTTCGTCCCCTCCTGGTTGGAGGTCAGATGGTCATCAAAACTGTGGCAACCTGAAGAGGTAGATAGCATCCAGTGGGAGAGAAAATTGGAGCAGAGATTTAAAAGATCTATAAAATAATTCATTTCACTCATTCTCTACTTCCATTTCCTCTCTCCCAATCTAAATCAATAACTAATAAATATCTATCAATAAATATTTATTAAGTATCTAATATATGGCAGGCATTGTACTAAATGCTAATCTAAACACACCTATTGACTGAGATTGTAGATATTCAGTGAATCTGGTAGCAAATAAAAATGTGGTCTCATTTAAAAATATAACAGGGAAGCATATATTAAAATATGGGTCACATGATATAATCTGAGGCTCAGAATATAGGAAAAAATCCTAAAGAATGAAAATTCTAGCATAGAAGTCAACCTAGGAGGAATGGAAAGCTCTTAAGAATGGGATTCTCAAGACCCGAAGAGAATCAATTTGCTAACAAGGAAAAATGGGAACTTTTTGAAGAGATTGATGTAGCTGCACAGGAAATATGCCCCAACTAACTTAGATCTTTAAAAGCCATATATGGAAGAAGAAAACAAGAACAAATAATGGAGGAATAATGCAAAAACATGGCACAGTCCTGTAAGAGCAGTGTTAGCAAGTTAAGCGTGAGGTTGAGCTGGCCAGAAAAACCAAATACACACACACACACTCACTTATATCTCTATCTATCTATCTATCTATCTATCGGTTGTTGTTGTTCTAGTATGTCCAGAAGAGGATCAAAGAGGTAGGACCATTGTTTGGGGGGGGTGAGACAAAGATGAGAGATGGTACAAAGAAAGAAGGCTATTTGATTCTTATTTTTCTTCTGCTTTCCTTAAAGAGAATCTCTTTGCACTGGGAAGGACAGAATGAAAATGACTAATAGTCAGCTGGTGCTCAAGATAAGTAAGGATATAAAGAAGTTAGAGACCATTTAGATGTATTTGATGAGTGCAAGGTAATTTCCTGATAGGAATTTCTTTGAAAGATGGTGGAGAATAGCAATACTACAAGATTGGATAAAACCAGATGTTGTCTTTATTTTCAAAAAGGGAAAGAGAATGGAAGGTAAAAATTGCAGATTATTGATATTTATTTCAATTTCTAGCAAAATTTTAGAAAATATTACTAAAAGGAAGCTTACTGGATATCTAGAAAAGCACACAGTGAACATAAAGAGCCAGAATAACTTCATTAAGAACAGATCATGGAAAGAATTTGGAACTCAAAATTTTTTAAAATGATTATTAAAATTTTTACATGTAATTGGGAAATATTTGATGAAATAAAAATAATAATTAATATTATGCTACAAAAAAGAACAGATTATGTTTTGCTAAACTCATTCCTTTTTTTCTTTTCTTTTCTTTTTTTCTTTTTAACTGGGGCTAGCAGACTGATAGATCTAGCGAATGCTGTATAAAGGGATTACCTCGATTTCTACAAATATTTCCATAAAGTACCATGCTACCCTGGTGAAAAATATGGAGAGATGTGGGCTAGATGAGAGTTCACATATATGACTTCAGTACAGGTTGAAGGGCTAGCAAAATGAATAGACATTAATGATTAGAAGTTAACTTGGAAGTTCTTGTCCAATGGAACACTGGTCATCTCTCATGCTTGGTTCTGCGCTGTTTAATGTTTTTCTCAATGATTTGAATACAGACTTAGTTAGAATACACACACACACACACACACACATAATATATGCATATATATACATACATATGTATATATGAACTTAAAGAAGACACAGAACAAAAGGGATATCTTAACACACTGGCTGACAAGGTAAGGATTCAAAAGGAATTGTGCTGAAACTAAAAACACAAAATTAGTAGGGGTAAATGTAAAATTTTATACCTAGGTTAAAAAAATCAACTTCAGAAGTACAATACAAGGGAGGAGTTATTAGATTGTACTTTGTCTGAAAATGATTGAGGTATCTATAAGCTTGATATAAATTCAATTGTGATGTCAGTCACAAAAGCTATTACAATCTTAGGCTATGACATGATGCTATCAGTTTAGAAAAGAGGATAAAAATGGAAATGATCAATGTTGAATGGGCTTTAGGAAGACAGGCACATGAATAAACTCTTAGTAGAGCTCTGAGTTAGACTAATTGCTGTATAACAATATGAAATAATATGAGATGTCATTAAACTATTCATATTCTTTCACTTGGTAATTCCACTACTGGATATGTACCCCAAGGAGGTAGAAAACAGAAAAAGCTCCCATATGTATGAAAATATTGCTAGTGGTCTTTTTAATTTTAGGAAAAGAAACTGGAAACAAATTGATTATCAATCAGCTGGGGAATGATTAAACTATAGTATATGAATGTCATGAAATAGTATTTTGATCAAGCATCATAACATTTGTTTAAAAAGTGCTTAGTACAATGCTTGGCACATAGTAGCCACTACAAAAATGCTTTTTTCCTTTTCTATACTTCCTTTCCTTTCCTTTTGCCCTAAAAATAATGCACCTAAGCCAGCACAAGTACATATGTATATATGTGTGTATGCATGTAATATGCACATGTATACACAGAGAACATTGGAGGTAATAGTCACACTGTATTCTGATAAGACTGCATTTTGAATATTATGTTCAGTTGTGGGCATATTTTACATGAGAACTTTATAACTTGTAATAGATCCAGAAAGCAATCAGAATGGCCATAACAAAAGAAATCCTGTCAGATGAAGAAGAGTTGAAGGATCTGGGAATGTTTAGCTCAGACAAGAAAAGATTAAAGGAAGAGATAATATTGTATTTTAATATTTGAAGGTCTGCCATGAGAAAGAAACAACAGTTATTCCCTACAGCTTTAGAGTACAAATAAAGGGTAGAATTGGTCAAAGTTCCAGTGAGGAATATTTCAGCCATATTATCAAGGAATAGACTGCACTGTGAGGTAATAAGCTTTCTAACACTAGAATTACTCAATCAGAGGCTGGATAAAAATTTGTCAGGAAAGTTGTTAAAAATACATATGCAGATATGCATCTGTATCTATGGAAAATTAAATCAGATGACCTGTAAAATCCATTCCAACTCTCTTAACAGATCAGGAAAAAAAATGGCAAAGGAAAGGAAGATAGCTAATAGAAATGATATAAAGGAAATATGAAATATTTTAAAACAAAAGAGAAAAAAGCAAAAAGAAAGAGAAAGAAGGGAGGCATACAAACAGAAAGGGAAAGGGAAACAAAAGGAGAAATGGGAATAGGTCTTTCAATTTAACCATGCTTTTTTTTTTTTTCAGTGTGATGAAGCCGAAATGAATTTCTGAGGGTTAACATGTCATTTACCAAGTCGTTTGAAGAAATTCTCTTCATCGTCTCTTCCATTCTCCATCCCACTTCCTGGTCCTCCTTCAGATAGCTTCACAGCACTGGTGAACTTAACCTGAGAAAACAAAACTGGTGTTAAGAATAAAACTAAATCAGACGGCAGCATATTCTGGTGTGACTCTAATCTTTGACTTGGAAATGAAATTTTTTTGTTTTTTTTTTTAAATTAAAAAAATTTTTTAGCACATAAACTTATTTCAGGTCCTTCAGGGTGCTTCAATGGGCTGGGTTAATCATTGCAGTATATTCTCACATGCTGATAAAGATATTGCAAAATAAATGGCAGCACAGCCAGAAAACAGACTGGATTTTTTACAAAGAAGCTTTGAGAAAATTATTTAGTGAACAATGGTCATATTATTTTCTTAATGTAGCGTTCAAGGGAGCCTCAATGCAGTCATCAGCAAAACCACAGTCTTCCTTTATATAAGCCACTTCAAATGGATCATCAAATGCTAAAGAGAGCCAAATAGAGTAAAATAATTCTAGAAAGGCTCAGCATAAATTAATTTGTCAACAATGCACTATGCTTAACCTTGAAATCATATGTTTCTTGTTCAAGATTTAAAGTATATTTTTCCTTGGCCCAATAGTTCTCATTTTTTTATATTTCAAAATCACAAGGCAGAAATAGTAATAGCAACAAAATACATTTAAAAAAATAAAGAAAACAAAAAGAGATGAGAATGGGTTGTGGAAACAAATCACTGTTTTGTTGCCATTTTCTTTCGTTAAAGGTCTTTGTTCTTTTCTTTATTTTCACCAGAGCTGTGATTTCATCCCTGCAGAGAGCAACCAATGAGAAAACTCCATCTACCAATGTAAAGCAGTGACTCTTTGGCAATTTATAATCTTAGAGAGTTACCTGGGATACCGAAAGTTTAAATGATTCCTTTGGGTTACACAGCCAGTATATCAGAGGCAAGTCTGGAAACCAAGCTGTCTCAGCCTTGCAGGCCAGCTCTCTATCTACTAAACTAATTTTCTTCTCTACAGTGAATCTTATACACATTATTAAATAATTTGAAGACTGTGGTTTTATTATGATCAATTGAAAATCTTGTTTGTTCATTTGAAGACTTATTTTGCCTTATGATTACTAAGTTTAGAATTTAAATAAAACATATTGTATCCCCAGGAACTAATGTTGCCTAGTATATAATAGGTACTTAATAAATGCATGTTAATCGACTGAAACAAACAATAAGAAAGGACTCCAAGTTAAGGAAAAGATTCCAGACCGGAGACTTCTTATTGCTTCTTATTGCCTCCACATGCTGTTTGGTATCCAAAGCCCTTCATAATCTAGTCCTCTTCTGCCTCTCCAATCTTCCTATGCCTTATTTCTCAACACCCACTCTTTGGTTCAGTGACACTGGCATCCTGGCTATTTCATGAATAAGACGTTCTATCTCTCAGCTCTGGGCATTCTCTCTGGCTGGCCCCCATGCCTGAAATGCTGTCCCACCTCCACTCTGACCACTGATCTCCCTAGGTTCCTGTAAGTCCCAACTAAAAGCCCACCTCCTACAGGAAGCCTTCTCCCACACCTCTTAATTCCAACACCTTCTATTTATTCTGTATATGGCTTGCTTTGTATATATTTGTTTGCATGTTGTCTTCCCCAGTGGATTTCAAGTTCCAGGAGGGCAGGGACTGTCTTTTATCTCTTTTTCTATACCCAGTACTTAGCACAGTGCTTGGCACATAGTAGGTGCTTGATAAATGTTTACAGAATCTGGAGTTGGAAGGGACAGCAAAGGTCATCAAGTCCTACTTCATTTTACAGATGGACCAGGTCTTCACAGTCTGGACCCATCCTACCTTCTTAGTCTTCTTTCACCTTCTGCTTTCCCATATACTCTACAAATCTGTGACACTGGCCTTCTTATTGTTCCTCACACAAGACGCTGCATCTCCCAACTCCAGAGTAGGTATTTGGACTCAGTTCCTTTGATTCCATATGCAGCTCTTTCCACCATCGTGGGCATTACGAAGTCCAGGGACATTAAATGGCCCATGATTAAATCACATCACAGTAGGATTTTTTTTTTTTAAATTCCACAGCCAGTACTTGTACACACCCATATTTCCTTTAGCAAAATCTTCACAGAAGCAACAGAAAGAATACCACTTTTGGCAAGATACTAATGAAGGGAAATGCTAGTAAATAATTCACGTAAGAAACAAAGGCATTTTTGTATTATAAACTTTAGTCCTAAAAGGAATAAGCCCACATACCACTTGAATGACACCCTTTGTTAGCAGCTGTCAAACCTTGCTCTTTCCCTGCCAGTTTAATGTAATGCTGGTGTATCATGCATGAGGTTCTCGGTATATTGCTTTGTCTTGAGTTTCCTCACTTCGTTCTTAAAGTTTAGCCTTGGCAACAGAAAGGCCACCTCTTCCTGTGAGACGGGGGCAATGGGAAGATAATGGCAAAAGTGAGATGAGATGAGGAGAGGAGAAGAGGAAGTTCTCTGCAAATGCCCTCAATTCCCCCACCCCCACCCCATGAAATATAAGTTAAGGTTTTCAGTGCAGGGATCCATGTGAGGTTTCAAGATACTGTGGGAATGGGAAAAGATACTATGATGAACGGGATAGTGAATCAATTAGGGAGGTGTAAAAAGGATTGCTTTGCTGTACTGAGGCCCCAATTCAAATTATGTAACATAAATTAGTAGTGGGCCTAGTAAGCATGGTTTTGCAATTTTCCTCCAGCTTCATTTAGCAGCGTGTAAGTTGGAATGAAGGCAATACTGTGTGGGAGTAATTCAAGACTGAGATTTGGCAGGGTAAAATTGGCAAAAGGATGAGGGGGCAAGGGACTTAAGAGAAGAGGATAGTGTGGAGTCAAACTCGTTCCCCAAAGGGTCAAGATAGGGAAAAGAAGGAAAGTGTAGTCAGTGCAGGGGTGATGGCCTGGGAAAGAACTTATGGGTAGAGGGATTAGAAGTCAATGATAATTCAAAGAACCAGGCCAGAATTTGCAAGGCAGAGAGGACGTGGAATGACAACAACAGGTTGTTAAAAGATGAAGGAATTTCATTCCATGAACATGGAAGTGGAAACTGTGACTGAAGGTAAAATCAAGGGTGTGACCATTTCTGTATGTAGTTGTGGTTAAAGTACCTTAATGTGATGGCAGAAGTTGGGGAGGAGAAAAAGACTATGATCCAGGCATTGAAGTCACTGAGGAAAGATAGAGTGTCTTAAAGGTCAGTAGATGACATTTATCCGAATCTTGATTGGTTGGTAGATATAGATTGAGTGAACTCTAAAGGAGATTACTAAGTGATGGCATTAGAGAGAAAACCTAGAAATGGCTATGGGGAGCAAGAAGTATTTCAACTCCTCTACCTGACCAGGGAGTAAAAGAATATAAGTGACAGTATATAACCAGAGCTGGAAAAGGTGGCCAGGGAAGCTGTATCATCACTAGTGGGTTAGGTTTCAGTGACCGCAAGAAGAAGAAAGAAGCAAGAAAGGAAATGGTTTAATATGAAAGGTAGTTTGTTACCTATGGGTGTCCAGAGAGCACAGCAGAAAGGAGGGGTAGCTTTGCAGAGATTCCCAAAGTGGGTGATACTGCCCCTGAGGGGGTGCTGAAAAGATCCAGAGGGTTGGTAGTAGTCTTGGGTGCAATTGGGGAGTGTTGAATAAAATAAGGGTGTGGTGGAAGCATAAGGAAAAAAGAAAAGAAGAAAATTTTGAAAAACTATCTGTACATATTTCATCTGTGGTGTAAGAGTTAAAGTCATAGTAATTACATTATTTTCCAAATAAACACGCAAAATGCAAATTATAGCCAATCAGTGGTCAAGTCCACTGATGGATCTTAATAAGCAAGTGTTGGCAGGTGAGCATTGTCAGAAAGTCCAGCACGCATCAGCAGGAATATGTGCAGGTGACAACTTGTTTACAATATGATACTATATGGTTACATGACACAATATTGCATCATCAAAATCTCAATGCAGGAAATCCTCCCAAAAATTTACAATTAATTGTTAAATTTAAGATGTATCATTTAAAAAATATTTTATATATTTTTTGAAATGACACAAATTAAAAAAAAATCATTAAAGTGTTAAAGAAAGTAGATGTCCAGGGGGGGCACTGAGTAATTTTTTTGAAAAAGGGCTGGCAGGCCAAATAAGTTTGGGAACCTCTGCTTTAGAGTATGGTATTGGGGTGGGTGGGAGGGGAATAGGAATAGGGAGGAAGCAATGGTGGGGGGGAGAAAACAAAGATTAGATAATGACAGAGGTTTTCAGACCTGCTGGAATGGGGAGGGTATGAAAGGGTGCGAATTTATTAATCACTGAGGAGTGATTTGGGTAGGATAACAACATCCTCAGGGGTCTAGCCTTAGGGTAGAGAATTTTCAGGGCGTTAGATAGCAGTGTGTGGTTGGAAAACTTAGAAGGGGGGAAATAGAAGAAGTTACTGGTTACGCAGGTGACTGCAGAGCACAATGGAATGGTGTTTCCTTCCTTCTAGGCAGGCAAAGGCAGGGGAGTTGTGGAGGAGATGAGAAAGAATGTCAGAGAGACTGGCATATTACATATCTTCTCTTCTAACAATAAACTATTTTCAAGGCCAGTGCCTGAGTGGTCAGCATGACTATGTGGTTTCTGCATACACTAAGTATCTATGGGAAATAACTCATATTTAGAAGGTGACATCCTTCCCTATGTGCCAAGTGATGCTTTTCCCTGCTTTGGCTCGTAACAATGGAGCAAATGAAACTTTTTACTGATTTTTGTTCTAAATTGTAAATAGTGTGTTTTCTTTCCACAACACCAAGATTCTCATAAACTGTTTAGGTTCAATATTAAAAACCTGCTAAATTATGGTTATAAACAGAGCTGGAAGGGACCTTGAGGCTAGAGCATCCAAGCCTCTCATTTTACAGATTAGAAAACTGAGGTTGGAAGAAGTTAAGTGACTTGTTTCAAGTCACACAGCTAGTAAATATCTGAGACAGGATTTGAACTAACATCTTTTTGATTCTAAGCCCAGATGTCTGTCAATTTTGCCAACTAGCTATCTCTAAAATAGGTGCATGCAGACTACTACTCATTCATCTTCAGTTTCAATTGTCTTTCTTTGATCTTTTCCAAATTTGTTCACTTTAAAGGCCTTTTGAATTACACCTCAGTGGACTCCTGAGGTGAATAGAGGGCTGAAGTTGAAATCAGGCAGACTCAGGTTCAAATCTTGCCTTTCACACTCACTAGTTGTGTAACTAGTTGTGTTAACCTCTCTGTCTCAGTTTCCTCATCTGTAAAAAAAAGGAAATCGTATTTGATTACCTTTAAGGTTCCTTCTAACATTAAATCTATCATTCTATGACATTCCCAGCATTGAAAGTTTTATTAGCTCATTTAACTTTCCCAACCAGTGATGGTTACTTTACCTTCGAGCTTTGTCTGATGAAAGATAGACGGTCTACTGAACTAATGTCCAAGAGATCTTCCACGCCATCTGCTAGGCCCGAGAGAGATGATCTCTTTAGCCAGTTTCCTATTTAATAGACAAAGTCTATTAACACGGCTCAGTATTCTCTCCAATCTCAGTCAAGCAAGAATACTAGCATATATCCTTAAAACAGGGAAGTGTCTCAATATGATAGAATCTGAATGAGGAGAAATTCTTCAGTCTATATGCCTTGGATGAAAATATGCAGGAATGGGCTTTAAATAAAATGGTCGTGCCCATTGCCTAGGATGCTACCTGGGACATAGTGGATGCTTGGTGAATACTTTTTAATTGATTGACAAGATGAATTAGTAATATTCTTCCATTCACTTGCATGGAATTTCTGCTCCCTATTACACTACAAGCACACTTATGTAGAAAATAATTAATAAAGAAACAAATAAATAAATAGACCTACTTTTACCTATGGGGAGTTTTAGTTTCTTTCGGAGTGAAATCCGCCGGGACCGGGAGCGTGAGCGCCTATCAGTGGTTGTCCCCGAGTGAGCAGTGGTACATTCTGAGGTGTCCTGTTCCGACTGGCTGCTGGTGTCACTTGCCGCACTCTGAGATTTGAACATCTTGCGCCAGAAATCTTTGCGTCCTAGGTTTGCCCCTTGCATCTGTTCATCACTGTGAGCAAACAAAATCTAGGATTAATAGCAGCAGAACTCACTTTCTACACTTACCACAAAATTACCTCCCTTTTAATCTTTCTCCCAAACTTGCCAATGTGCATTATCTCATATATAATTTTATATAACTGTATGATTATTGACAAGGGAAGTGCCATAGTACAGGAAAAAATGAAGATCTTAGAACCAGAAGAGATCTTAGAAATTGGGTATAAGAAATTGGGTATAACTCAGTGACACAGACAAGTTAAGTGACTTGCTAAGGGTCATGCAGCTGGTTAGAGTTTGAGGTGGGATTTGAATTCAGATCTTCCTGACTCCAAGTCTAGCACCTTTCCATTATAACATAGGGCCTCTCCCAAAAGGCTTGATCTGATATTGGCTCAGGGGTGTGCTAAAATCAGCTAGAACTGATTCCCAAGAGTTGGTTGTTAAATTTCCAGGATGATACTTCAGAAATTGGCAAATGCTACAAATCAGGATTTTAGCTATTGTTTTGTTGATGATGGTCTAGACTTAAGAAAGTGATGGATAAAAAATTATGTAAATGAAACTTAACCGTGTATATACTGCATACACTATTTCATAGTCACACCTCTCCCTTGAGACCTGGTTGTTAAATATTTACCAGTACAGCACGGTATTGATTCCTCCCAAAGACATATTGCTATATTGTCAAGTGGATGTGCCTTCATTTATTTAAAAAATATGTAAGTGCTTCATTTGACAAGTGTTTTAGTGCCTCTGAGTCACGACAGCAGAGACAATTCATTCTAAAACACCAGTAACTATATAATTCTCATTCTATTAACAGTTATTACCAAGCTTAGGGACTGAAACTTCCAACTACCGAGAAATCCAAGACACTTAAGTTAGGTTTTGGAAATCAACATGAGGGGGCAGCTAGGTGGCGCAGTGGATAGAGCACTGGCCTTGGAGTCAGGAGGACCTGAATTCAAATCCGGCCTCAGACACATAACACTTACTAGCTGTGTGACCCTGGGCAAGTCACTTAACCCCACTGCCTAGCCAAAACAAACAAACAAACAAACAAACAAAAAAGTAAAGGGGCAGCTAGGTGGTGCAGTGGACAGAGCACAGGCACTGAAGTCAGGAGGACCTGAATTCAAATCTGGCCTCAGACCAAACACTTGACACTAGCTGTGTGACTCTGGGCAAGTCACTTAACCCCAATTACCTAAAATTTAAAAAAAAAAGGAAATCAACTTGAACCAGAAACAAGTGATATAGTCAGTGTTTATGGGATTTTAAACAATAATTTTAAATTTGCTTGTAGACCTTGGAGAGAGATTTGGAATCTTTCCTAGGGGCTGTGCAAGATATTCATTTTTTTTGATACAGCTTTTATGGAGAAACATATACGGAATCCAATTTCATCTCCCAAAGCTTAGCAGTGATTCATGACCTTTGAATTCTTATTTGTTAACCTGAAGTTTTATTTTTCTATTCTAAAATGAACCCGTGCTAGTTCGCTAGAAGTGAATTCCTCTGTTGGGTCACATAAAATATTCATGTTTCATGCAGTTTCTCACCTACAGAGTATTCATGACATTCTGATCAGGGTTATGAGTAAACTCTCTGAAGGGGAAAAAAGGATCCAGTGGGACCATTTATCAACTTTGGTACATTAGTTGTGTCTAATGGGTTTATATCAATAACGAGTTCCAGTGAAATGAGAACTTAAAAAGCATTATTAGTTTGAGTATTACTCAGTCAACATGACCTTTATAGAAAGAAAGGAGATTAAAAAGAACAAAGGGAAAGGAAAAATAAGAAACAGAAAAAAAAGTAAGTAGGTACGTGCAGAGCTGTAAATAATATGGGTCACTAAGGCTTTGTCTTATAGTACCAACAGGAGGGATCTAGGGGACATGTGTGGGGTCAGTTGTGGACTTAAGGCATAGTTCAATGAGGAAGCAAAGAATCACCAACCAGTCCTCATCTCACGTTGCTGCCATGGGTAGGGGAAGTTTGCTGCGTCCTGACTGTCAAAATCCCACCCCCAGGTCCTACCACTATCATTGTGCTCCCCTAGGGGGAGCCTTCCTTTACCATGCTAGTGCTACTGAACCCAGGTGGGATGGACTGTTACACATTTTATAACTTGGGTAACTGTGTCAAATGGGAATGTGTTGGATCAGTCTTATGGTGTCTGACATGCACTCTAGATTTTGGGAGGGTAGATTTCAAAGGCTTCCAAGAAAGAATACCTAGCATTATGTGGATGAAATTCTTGGAAAGAAATCAGGTATGGAAGCTCTAAAGAATAAAATTATGAAAATACAAAGAGAAACATTTATTCTGCTTGACCGAGATCAGAAGGCAAACTAGAAACAATGTTTAAAAGTTATAAAGAGGCTTGATATTAGGAAAAATTCCTTAATGATTTTTGTTCTTGCTGTTTAGTCATTTCAGTGGTGTCTGGCTCTTTGTGACTCCATTTTGGGGTTTCCTTGACAAAGATACTGGAGTACTCTGCCATCTCCTTCTCCAGCTCATTTTTTCAGATGAGGACACTGAGGTTAACAGAGTAAAGTGACTTACCTGGGGTCACACAGCTACTAAGAGTCTGAGGCCAGATTTGAACTCAGGAAGGTTAGTGTTCCTGACTCCAGGCCAACATTCTATCCACCATGACACCCAGCTACCTTCCCCTAACAATTAGAGCTACACAAAAGTAAAATGAACTGCCAAGTGAGGGGAGAGGGGGGAGAGCCAACGACAGCTTTACACTGCTCTATTCCCCCTCTTCCCCCCATCCCCCACCCTGCACTTGACATATTAAGTGAAGACTGGATAACATTTGTTGGACATATTATGGAAATTCTCATTCATGTAGGGATCTGACTAAATGGTCTCTGATATATGTTCTATCTCTGAGTTTCTATGAGTCCTAGTTCAACTCCTTTTCTTGGATTTTCCGGGGACCTTCTGTTACTTTATGCCTTAGTCTCCTTTACCACAAGAAGAAGGTTACAATATCTGCTCTGTTTTGAGTAAAAATAGCTGCTGATTTAAGACACTGCTGAAATACATTACGATGACTATAAAATATGATTACAAATCAAGAAAGGTGCATGTTCATAGGATATGCCATCAGAGCCACCTGCAGTTAAATAGCAAATAGGTTTGAGTCTAGCTTGAAAGGATTATTAACGAGTTTTTCATAGCACTACTTCTATTTTTTAAGCACTTACCACATCTGCCACATCATGGAAACACTGATTTGATATCGTTAAGCTTTGCCAGTGTGAAAAGTAAAGAAACTGATGGAGGGACATTGGGCATGGGGCCCAATTGGAAAAGGATCAGAATTCAGGGAAAGAAGGGAAGCTATGTTTATTCAAAAGCAGGATAATGTAGTACTTTTATTCCACTAGACTGGCTACTAGTACTTCATCATTCAACAGACTCACTCATTCAGTAGTCTTTGAGTCTTTGTTCATTTTGTGTAGCTCTAATTGTAAGGGGAAGGCAGCTAGGTGGCATGGTGGATAGAATGTGGGTCTGGAGTCAGGAACACTTACCTTCCTGAGTTCAAATCTGGCCTCACTCTTAGTAGCTGTGTGACCCTGGGCAAGTCACCTTACTCTGTTTACCTCAGTTTCCTCATCTGAAAAAATGAGCTGGAGAAGAAAATGGCAGACTACTCCAGTATCTTTGCCAAGAAAACCCCAAAATGGAGTCTCTTTAGGTACACAGAATTCTGGTGGTCACTGAAAGCAGTACAAAAGAAGCACTTCTTTTTGGCAAACACTCACTCATGTCCACAGGACTATGATGCCATAGAAGCTTATTTCCCCTGGAAGCTCACTTCACCACTGAACTATTTTTCACATTGGAAGCACCAAAGAACTCTGTGCCCCTGTGACTTCTTCCTCTGATTGACTGATCCCTCCCCGAACCTCCACATTAAGAAGGAGACTCAGGCCAACTGAGTCTTCCTTCATCTCCAAGTTGAATTGCTGACGGCATCTTCACAGAACTTTCTCTACCATACCCCCATGCCAGGTACCTTTACCACATCTACACACTTTTCAGTCCTCTTTTATGTGTTGTCTTCCAACCAATAGAACACAGATTCTTTGGGGGTAGGGACTATCTTCCTTTCTACTATTTGTATTCCCAGTGCTTAGCACAGTACCTGGCAACACATAAAAAAGGGAACCATAGGCCAAATGCCTTACATTTAAGAGTGATAGTATATTAAGCTTTTTTTGTTACTGAACAAATTGGGGTTTCAAACATGTTAAGATACATCTCTTATCACCTAGTTTATAATATAGTTGGGGATATTACATAGACTTAAGTAAGAAGTATAAGCTAGCCTAGTAATTTTTTTATCTCAATATGCAATTTCATGCTATTCTATGAAATCATCTCATACAAATAATCATTGTTAATAATTGGTAATCTATTGAGAAGTTACATGATGTAATGAAGTTTTATCAGATTGTGCTTGCCTGCAAAACTCCCAAGTACAGTCTGAAAAACCAGATTAAAATGTAATTGGAAACATTTAACAAAATAAACAAAAATACAATAAACATAGATAATGTTAACTTGTGGTTTTCTAAGACAATATATGGCCCATAGGGATCCATTTCTATTTGACACCACTGGACTAGTGGATAAAAAAAGTTGGTGTTGGAATCAGGAAAACCTGATTGCAAGTCTGAACTCTGCCACATTCTAATTCTATGATCCTGAGCAAATCACTTAGAATTCTATAGGGTTAAAAGTTGCAGGGAAGAAGATTCCTATCTATATTTTTAGAGGAAATTCCTTCTTTAGTCATAAACTGTTCCCCTATCATATATAAAAGGTAATTTCTTCCTTATTTCTCTAATTGTTTATGTCACCATTTATGTCGAAGTCAATTATCCATTTGGAGAATATCATTTGGAGAATTCCCATTCGGGAATATGGTACGAGATGTTGGTCTATATGTGGTTTCTGCCAAGCTGCTCCCCAGTTTTCCTAGCAATTTTTGTTAAATAGTGACTTCTTAACCCAGAGGTCTTTGGGTTTATCAAACACCAGGTTTCCTGCACTGATGAAATCACAGGACCAGTTTTAAAAAAAAAGATTGGCATCTTTGTAACATTTCAGTGTAAAGTATTTTCGCATGCATTCTCTCATTTATTTGATGTGTAATAAGCAAGAAGTGCTATAAGAATTCAGAGAAAGGGAAGAGCAAAGGAAATCATAGTACTCAGAGAAGGACTAACAGTGATAGGTTAGTTGTATATTGAAGAATGGGTAGAGTATGGATGGGAAGAGAGAAGGGTGAAGGGTACTCCAAGTGAGCAGAACAACAGACGCAAGGGACTATAGTCAAGAGTAAAAAAGGTGGTGTAAGTATATCTGTGGGAGATAGTAAATAGACTGACGGGATTGAAGTTCTCAGGTTGGGAAATAAGACTGATGGAGCAGATTAGGCACACAAACAAAGAAGCAAATACACATAGTAGCCTAATGTTCAATAAACCCAAAGACCTTCGCTCCTGGGGTGAAGAACTTACTATTTAGCAAAAACTAGTGGCAAAAGTGGAAAGCAGTCTGGCAGAAACTAGGTATAGGCCAAACACCTCACACCATATTCCCAGATAAGTTCTGGGAATAAATGGATAAATAACTTGGACATAAAGGGTGATGTCATAAAATCATCAGATCTCTGTATGGGGGGACAATTCATCAACAAGGAAGGGAAAAAGAAGAATACAACAGATAAAATGGACAATTTTGAACACATGAATTTAAATGCTTTTGCAAAAACAAAATCAATGCAGTTAAAATTGGAAGGGAAACAGGTAACTGGGGAAAAATTTTTTTGAAATGTTTCCCTGAGAAAGTTAAATATATGAGACTAATTCCAATTTATAAGAATAAGATACATTTCCCAACTGGTAAATGATCAAAGGATATGATCATTTAGTTTTTGACGGAATGAATCTAAACTATTGATAGCCATAAGAAAAAAAATGCTCCAAGTTACTAATAATTAGAGAAATACAAATTAAAGCAACTCTGAGTTTCTACCTCACATTCACCAGATTGGCAAAGTTGACGAAAAGGGAAAATGACTCATTAATGCACTGTTGGTGGAGCTATGAGTTGGTACATTAATTGTGGAAAGCAATTTGGAACTATACTCATAAATTTACCAAACTATTCATATTCTTTGTTCAAACAATACCACTATGAGGCATAACCTAAAAAAATCAAAGAAGGGCAAAAATCTTATATATACAAATATATTTATAGCAGCACTTTTGTGGTGGCAAATAATTGGAAACTAAGAAGGTGCCAATTAATTTGGGTGAATGACTGACTAAATTATGGCATACAAATATAATTGAATATATTGTACAGTAAAAATTGTGAAAGGGGGCAGTTTTGGAGAAGCCTGAAAAGACTTGAGTGAATTGTTTCAAAGTGAAGTAAGCAGAACCAGGAGAAAAAATTGTTCAACAGCAATAACAATGTAATGATAAACAACTTGGAAAGACTTATGAACTCTAATCAACATTATGAACCATTTCTGAGGCCTGATGATGAAGCCTGTTATCCACCCCTGTACCCTGTCAGGGTACAGACTGAGACTTTTTTTTGATACACATAATGTACAAATTTGTTTGCTTGACTTTGTAAATTATACAAGTGTTGGAGAGATAATAGATTTTTAAAATGAAATAAAATTAAATATTAAAAAGGCAAAAAAGAAATAAGATTGGACAGTCATAGAGGTGTATGATTGAGAGGCATTTCTGGTCACCATGGTGAAGGGTTTGACTTTTATTGGCAATAGGAAGCAATTGGAAACTTTTGAGCAGAAGAGTGACATTAGGATCAAAGCAGGATCTTCAGAAAATTAATTTGTTCATGGTATGTAGAACAGACTACAGGGAGAACACAATATAGGCAGAATTCAAGAGGTTCTTAGATTGGTCTAGTTATGAGATGATTAAGGCTGAGTCTAGGGTGAAGGTGGAAGAATCAGGAAGAAACAAATGAATATGAGTCATTTCAGTAGACAATTCAATAATTCTCTGGTAGAATTTTTCCTTCACTGAACAGTCTTTAACTATTGGAATATATCTCTGGGACCAAGTCTTCTGATACTTACTGCTCTGGAGTTTGCAAGGGACGGCCAGACATGTAGCTGCGACATTCATCAGGTGCTGATGATACCTGGCCTTTGTCAAGTCCAGCCTCTGACCTGAGGGAATAGTTCATTCCATCAATTAAAATGTGCTAATTTCCATTCAGTAAAGTAGGCAGCCATTTTGTAAAAACATACTTGATACTGATAACACACATGATGCTAAAACACAATCTCTAATCCTCTTAAAAATGCCATCACTTAATAATTTGTACTTGATATTAAGGTATAACAAATGCGAATTTAGCTCTTGGTTACCCCTTTTAAATTAGGAAAGGGACTGGGCCTGTTATTTTCTTGATAATAAGGAATTTCCCAGTGGGGAAGCTCCCTCCATCAATGCATATAAACACCTTTTCTCCAACTTAAAGTCTTAAAGAGTTGCCTAGAGCATTGAGAAGTTATGGGATTTGCCCAGGGTCATACAAGCAGAGTGTGTTAGGGGGGGATCTTGAACTTAACCCTTCCTGGTTCCAAGTCCAGCTCTCTATTTACTACACAATCTAGCCTCTGGCATTCTGGGAGAAACACTGGAATTGTGATTTTACTAGTATATAGAAATCTTAGATGAGGAAACTGTGCCTCACAATCTAAGAGAGTTATCTAGAGTTGAGATGTCAAACTTGTGGCCCATATGGCCTGTAACACTGCCAAGGCCAGAATCAGATTAAAATGGAATTGGGAAACATTTAACAAAATAACTAAAAATATAACAAAATAAAGATAATATTACATTTGAAAACTAAGTCAATATGCAGCCCACAATATCCTTATGGATAGATTAGTAGTAGTAGAGTTTGACACCATTGGTCTAGAGTATTACTGACTTGCCCAGGAAAACACAGTATGTTTCAGAGGCAGCACTTGAACCCAGGGTTCCTGGCTCAAGGGCTAGCTCTCTTTCCATTAGGCTATACTCTCTTTTGACACTAAAATACATCCTGATAATATATTCACCCAAAAAGTTATTAAAATGTATCCTGATAATATATTTGCCAAACAAAGTTATTAATTCATATAGAATGAAGAACCTCAGATTTAGGTATTTCCAGATTACTAAAAGGAAGAAAAACTTAATAATTGAAAAACTAATCCTGGTCCTAGAGACTAGATAACTAAATATACCTCTTTTCTATTGCTAGAGAGGCTGAGGACTATTTTGATTGCATATGGTATACATAATATGGTTTTAGACATTTTGGACAAACTGCTTTTCCTTGTTATGAGGGAGGGTTTAATTGAGATGTCAGATTGATAGTATGTCCAGAAATGGCTGTGATGCAAAAACAAAAGACATGAAAAAAAATTTAGAGGTTTCTCTTTGTATCTACTAGGGCATAGAATTTTTCACACAACATTCATCAAACCAAGTTTGATATTCCTAATAGGAAAAATAATTTAGGAAATTGCCTTTGTTTATCAATCACATTCTGCTGCTTTACTTCAATCATCTCTAAAAAGGCAGCTATGACACAGTGGAGAACTTGCCTCTGAGCCAAGAATATGTGGGGCCAAGTCCTGCTTTTGACACATGCTACTCATGTGACCCTGGGCAAAACACTTAACTTCTCAGTACTCTGTCTAGGCAACTAAGGCTACAAATTGCAGACAAGGTGCTCACCTTCATTGATAGAGGGAGTTTCCTCACCTGGAAGTTATCTATATCAATCGATCCACAGATCCAACTCCTCCTCTATTACAGAGAGCAGAAACGGGTGTATCTTTCTTTCACTGATTATTACTCCTAAATCAAAATGATAAATATCAGTGGACACAACTAAAACACATAAATTTTTGCTTCATTAACTTGAATCACAAGTACAAGGGAGTTGATGCAAGTCTTGTGTCTCTCGAAGAGGAGAACAGATAATCTGAAGAGTTCTGATGGTTTTATTGAGCCTAATATCTACCAAAGACACTGGTATTGTAAGTAAGAGAATTTTCTACCACTCCCATGCTTAGGAACCATCAGGATCTGAACACAAAATGCAAAAGAGCAAAATACTCTAATATTAGAAGACTGGTAGAAAAATTCAAAGAGTTCCCTTCACACGCATGGACGTACCTTTTGCTCCCTGAGGGTTTCGAGTCCTGCTCTGCCTCGTCTGATCTTTTTCCTGGGGCTAGCTTTTCTGCACTGTCTAGCAAGGCACTCAGGGCAACCCTCCTGAAAACATTTCCGTGAGCTTCTTTGATGAATTGAACCAGCTGCCGAATGTCACAGTAGAGCCCCTATGTAATGACAAGCATGAGGTATAGCAGGAAAGAGAGGAAGCTTTATCAACAGATAGTTTTCTCATGGAGCCTGAAAAAGAAGGTTTATAACAGTGCTGAAATGGACTAAATGGGTGATTTACCCCTGGGCTAATGCACACAGAAATCTTTCAAGTGAAAACTTGAGGAACAATTTTATCCTGTATCTCTAGAAAGTGTTGACGTTGTGTTGCTAGGCCTATATTTGAAAGATCAAAAAAATTTGAAAAGGACCCATACATAGCAAAGAAATGGAAATTAAGGGAGTGCCCATAAATTGGAAATGGTTGAACAAATTTTGAAGTTTGTGTGTATTTATATATACATTTATACACACATGCATACACACATACAACGTACATGTGCATATATAGTATATGTAACGGAAAGCCACTGTGATATAAGAAAGGATGAAAGAGACAGTTTAGAAAAATCTGAGAAGACTCGTATGAATCAATGAAGATTGAAAAGAGCAGAACTAGGAGAAAAATGTATATAATAACAACAACATTGCAAAGACAAACTTTGAAAGACAACGCTGATTAACACACCGACCAACTACAATTCTGGAGGACTGATGATAAGGCTTGCTACACCACTCCTTTCAGAAAAGTAATGGACTCTGGGCAAAAAATTATATATATGTATGTATGTATTCTTTGGATGTGGTCAATGTAGGAATATTTTTTTTCTTAACTATGCATACTTACTACCACTTTTTTCCCCCCAGTGGGAAGGTGAGTGGTAAGTAGACATAGTAGATTTTTGGTCATTAAAAAAAAAAAATTAACTTTAAAATAAAGTCAATTGCAGTACTTTAGACTTCAAGAAGATCATCAAATATAGTATAATAATTATAATACTATAGCCCCAGCTCTCCAACTCCCAGGCTTCTACTGACAATTCTCAATAATGATCAAAGGAGGAAGTAGAAGGAGGCTATTCCTTTGAGTTTTGGTTCTAATCTTCGATCTTTGTCCAAAAGCATTTTTAAAAATCATCTCTAAAAAAAAATAAAAAAAATCATCTCTACTTCAGCTACAATTGGTATAATTCTCCTTGAAATGTCTTCTGCACTAAGCCTGATCATTTTAAAGACAATGTGGTACAATGGATGGGTTCAGGGATATGTGCCACTCTTATAGTTCATAACTAAAAATCTGTCTATTTCTAGCCCAAGGTGCTATCTAAATAGCCAGATTTATTCTGTATGGATCTTAAGAATTATTTTAGTCAGTCAAACACAATTGGTGTGTTAACAGACTTTGAAATATGGATATTTTGTGATGAAATTGTCTTGCTTGTAATCAGTGGGGGGGGGATAAGCAAAGCCTCTAAAAGGTATCTATGAGAGTTAGTCACTGAGAACCTTGCTTTGATGATTTTGCAAGTCAAGAAAAGTAGCTTTCACTTGGTCCCTCTTTGTTTATTCTCTTTTCAAATCTGAATCTTTAGAGATCTAAATGATTTCCTGAATTTGGGCAGGACTTATGTTACAATTCCCCACAGACTCACTTATGAGCTAATGGGCATATGAAGTTGTCACATATATAACTGGTTAGAATGCAGCATGGATCTGCAGGCACCTATTTCAATCACCTTTGGCAGCACTGTCCCAAGACACAATTTCTTCTGAAGCAATTAAGTGATCACCTCTAGCAGGCCATTCCCAGTAGACTGTTTAAGGCCCCAAGGAAAGTTTAATCAACTCAGTCACACTAGGGGAATAGTAGATGTCAGATTATAGGCTTCAATTAACATACAATAGCAACCATTCTATAGTATATTTGCTTTCATTACAAAAGCAAACATAATTTGGAATAGTGTTCATAAAATCATTAAGATTTTGTTGTAACACATGCCTTCTTTATTATTTAATTTTTTATTATGAATGCAACACACCAAAAACATGAACATTTCCCCATTCAAAGAGAAAAAGAAGACAGCATATGAAACTGTGAATCTTCATTGTGTATGGCTGATTTCATCAAATGTATTTAAATTTTAACGAGTTACTTCCAACAATGCCCTACTTGACTGTGACCCTTTCTGAACTTCCTTCTACTCTCTCCTATGTATTTTTTAAAAATGATTAATTAACATTCTTTCCTTTCTTTCTCTTGTTTCAGTATCACAACCCCCTCTGTAAAACCCTCCTGTGTAGCAAATAAGTATAATCAAGCAAAATGAATTCACATACTTGTCTGAAATGGGTCATTTTGCACCTCTATCTACTAAGAGGGCATTCTGTTCTCCAAGATCTTCCTAAAATTATCAGTTTTGTAATTATAGGGTTTGGGGCAGCCTCATATACACGATTCCATTGCAGCTTCCTGGTTCCTTGTAAATTCATTCTCAGGATGGAGTTCACTCAAAACTTCCCACACTCAAGCCAGGGCTGGCTTAACAATTTTGAGTAAATCCATACCTACTTTAGGAGCCTTTTTTGATGGATCTCAAAGCCCATTGCAAACATCTCACAAATGATCAGAGGATCTTCATAAGATGAGTGGTTAATAAATCCTTCTCTACTTTCCTCTTTCCCGTCTCAGCAATTTTTCAGTCAGGAAAGTGGAAGAAAGAGAGGGTTAAGTGTGCTCTTAAGGTTCCCCACTGAATCACTGACTGCTGGTGCTGAAAGAACAGCGGCAAAATAGAAGAATCTTCTCTCCAGTCTAATATTTTACCCCAAACCTCCCTCTGTCCTTTCTCTTCTTTGTTGTTCTGGTTTTAAGCCCTCTCATGTATCTGAGATGGCATACCCTTCTGCAGAGAGATCCTCACCAGGTTTTCAGGGCTGTGTAGTTCATGCGTAGTAGATGCACAGCGGGTGATGAGGGATTTAAACATAGCACTGACAATAATGCCTTCCACATTCTGGGCTGTGGATTTGTTGTCCACTGTGGTGAAGTTGTTCCCAAACCCAGCCTTATCTGGAAAGCAAAGGTACAATTTAAAGGCAATTTGCCCAGTGAAACAATGGGATCCTGTGAACAATTCACTAGCAAAAAGAGACCTATAATGAAACAGAAGTCATAATAATACCCTGAAGACTTTGAAATAAATAAACAGCACTCCCTTTACAGCCTCTTCTCTTAGATAACTATTTTATCTTGTTTATAGAATCTTTTGGTAACATCTAAGGGTGAAAATGGAAAGAATGCTAGGTCAGTCAGAGAACCTGGGCACAAATCTTAGCTCTGTAATGTACTAGCTGTGTGAACTAGAAGAAGGCTCTGAGCATCAGTTTCCTCATTTGTAAAATGAAGGGATTGAATTAGATGATCTCTAAGGTTTCTTTTTGCTCTAAATATATGATCCTATAATCCTAACCTTTTTTTGGGGGGGGGGAGTAAAAACTTTCAGATGTAGAATTATTTTTCACAATGATCTCTTTCCCCAAGGTTTAACTAGTATATCATAGAGCTCACCAACATTCTCAGTGAGGGGTTGCTAAGCTCCTTACCTAAATTACTGTGTTGAAGGAATAAGAAGGAAACACTGGAAGGAGGTATGAAATGAGGCTAGAAGGCAAAAGAGCAAGAGAGTTCTGACATGGAAATCAATCTAATCCAAAAAACAAGTATTAGGCACCAACTAAGCAAAAGGCAAACTACGCACAAGGAAGAAGCATGGGGGGGAGTGGATAGTGTGTGATTACATTTAGATCTTGCCTCTAATAATCAGTAGTGGTGTGGCTATGGGAAACTCATGTTTTCTGAGCCTCAAACAACTTTTAAAGGCAAGAAGTTAGAGGCTAAGCCATCAGCAGTTAATGGTGACATTTCTCACACCTATGAAATAACAAATCTTTGATGTGAGTGTACGCACAAGGGACTATGTCACTTCCTGGGGATACAAAGCATGTAACTTAGGGAAAGGAGAGATCACTTTTAGCTGAGGGAAGGGAACTGATTTGAGGAGAAGGTGACACATGATCTGGCCCTTTAAATAAAAGGATTTGAAGTTAAAAAGGAATTATTGGATAAAAGGATTAAAGGAAGGAATCTAATACAGGATAAATGGAGGATAAGTGGGAGCAAGGCTAATTTGACTAGACGATAGGGTATATGAAGGGAAGTGACATATAATGAGGCTGTACAATAATACATACTGAGACCAGATAGTTGGAATGGAGCCAAGCTATAAAGTATTTTAAAAGACAAGAAAGTGTTTGCTTCTAACCCTCATGGTAATAAGGAACTACTGGAATTTATTGAGTAGGAGAGTGACAATCAATCCTGTGCTTTGAAATGATCACTTTGGGAACTATGTGGAGGATGAATTGGAAAAAAGAGACAAAAAAAGAGACCAATTAGGAGTTAATTTTAATGGTCCAGGTGAGAGGTGTTTTTACTATTGTTGTTTGAACTAGGGTGGTGGTCATATGTGCTTAGATATGTATGTATAATCTCCTTTAATTAAATGTAAACTGGGGGGGTGGCTTACATTTACATAATAAATGCTTATTGAATTAAATGGAGGTAACTAGGTGGTAAATTCAATGGAGCATCGGACCTGGAGCCAAGAGGACCTGAGTTCAAATTCTGATTCATATATAAAAGATCTAGTGACCCTAGGCAGGTCACTTCATTTCAATTTGTCTGGGTTTTCTTATCTGGAAATCGAGGATAAAGCACTTACCTCACAGAGTTGTTGTGTGGATAAAGTAATTAAATATGTGTAAGCACTTTGTAAGCTTTAAAGCACTATATAAACACTAATTATTTTTATTATTATTAATTGATTGGGAGAGGACAGGATGGCGTTATGAACAAGGATCAAATGAGATAACATATGTAAAGGTCTTTGTACATCTTAAAGTGCTATAAAATACTAGATAGTAGTAGTAATAGTGATAGTAGAAGTGGTAATGGTAGTGGTAGTGGTGGTAGTGGTAGCAGGAGTAGTAGTGGACTAATGTGAAATTATGCTGGAAAAATAGGGTGGAAACAAGTCACAAAAGGTTCTTCTTTAAGGATGAGGCTAAGAAATTTGTATTTTCTCTTACAGGCAATAGGAGTTACCAATCAGAAAAGCAGTAGAAAAGCAGAGGAGTAATAGTCTTGCGCTTTAGAAAATTAACATGATTCTTGAAGAATATATTTGAAGGGGTATGGGAAGAAATTGTGACACAAAGACGAGATATGAGGCAATTACAATAGTACAGAGAGAGATGAGGGAAGTCTGAATAAAGATGTGATAACAGAGGAAAAGAAATAGGTGAGAGCCTTTGTGGAGATAAATCACAGAGAACAAGAGGGAAGGAAGTGTGGTGGTATACACCAACATTTCATCTTCAGCGGTTTTCAGCCATAAAGGCCTAAAGGATATTAGAGAAGAGCTGTGGACCTGCACAACCTTTGCTCTTCAGCTGCATCCTCCCACCCCACCCCATTAAATGCCCAAGGGTGTAGGGAGGGAAGCATGCTGGTAGCAAATGTCTTCAACCAGTTCCCAACAGGACATCAAAATCTCAAGCTAGCATTTAAATACCTATTACTAATGCATATTCATCAGAATGTAAATTCCTTCAGGGCAGAGACTTTTGTTTTTGCTTTGCTTTGTACCTTCAGCACTTAGCATAGTGTTGGGTAGATAATGAATACTCGTTGACTTGACTTAATTTATTGGCTGCAAAGGATAGGGAATGACCAAAAGCTGAGTTCCTAGCTTTAATCAAATTGGGCTCCGTGATCAACTAATCATTCATGACTGACTTTGAATTAACCCTTAGTTAAACCATCTCCCTAAAAGGAACGCTTATTGCTTCCTTTTCATGTTAGGAACCAGCTTGCTAATTGTGTACTTTGGACTTCAGGATTATTAGAAATCATACCTGGTATATTGTTGAATACAAATTATTTTATAGCATATGCCAATTTTATCTTCTTGCAGGAGTACAAATGCACATTATTTTGCAATCAATAATTTCCCCATTAGTACATACTTGGCAAATGCATAACTGCTCTTGGATTTGGTGTAATGTCTGCAGTTTAAACACATTTAACAAAGTCTTTCTTCTTACTTTGAGGATTAGATGGAAAAGAGGCACCTAGGGGCAGCTAGGTAGCACAGTGGATAGAGCACCAGCCCTGAAGTCAGGAGGACCTGAGTTCAAATCCAGCCTCAGACCAAACACTTGACATGTACTAGCTGTGTGACCTTGGGTAAGTCACTTAACCCTGATTGCCTCACAAAAAAAAGAAAAGAAAAGAAAAGAAAAGAGGCACCCTAGTGATAAGGGAAATACTGTAGCCAGGGACATGAAGAGAAAGCTTTATATGAAATAGTTGCTTTATAGTAACTTGAATACATACTGTTTTATGTAAACTATAAAAACAGCAAGAAAAACATATGTATATGTGAGTGTGTAGCTGCATCTGCATTAAAAATATATTTGAAATGTTTGTTCTATTCCAGATGAAGTTTGCACGCAATAAGCACGTACTTGCACAGTTGTAGAAGAATCAAATATTTAGAGCTAGAAGGGACCTCAAGGCTCATACTTTCATTTTACAGATAAGAAAACTAAAGCCCTACGTGCCCAAGATCACAGGGCAGTAAGTGACAGAGCTGGGATTTGATCTGACGTCCTCTATAGGAGTTTACCTATGGTCACGTACCTATGAAACAATTTATAGTTCTATATCTACAGAATTTTAGCATAATTTATTTATTCTGGCAAATACCACAATGCAGAAACAATTAGAGGCAATCTTCATGTTGATGTCTCAATTCTGTTTCATTCATTGCATTTACATATAAGTGTGTGTATATTATATAGTTATATATATATTTATGTGCATCTCTCTATATTTCCTCTTTTATTTCTAAGAGTCCTTGAGTACTTGACTCAGTTTCTTTGCATCAGAAAAATAAGGAAGGTAGAAGAGAGACCACCACCTGAGAGGCTGAATAGCAGTTGAGGGACCAAGAATAAAGATCTACAAGAATAAAGACCTGCCAGACCACTGATAATTTACCCATTACAGTTTACAGACCATTAATCTAGATATATTTTGCAGAGGAAAATTTTCCATAGCATGTTTCCCATAGTATGTTCTGAAAGATAGTACTCATCTTTCCTCCATTTCATGAGTACTAGAAATACATGCTTATGTATTTCTAAATGCATTCTACCTCAAAGAAGTTGAGGTGATTCCCAAATAGTACATGGCCTACCTCATCATGGTCTCTCCTACTGCTTACAGTGGCAGCCATACTTACTGTCAGTGACTGGTTCCATACAGAATCCTAGCAAAGCATGCAAGAAATCCACTACGTTATTGAGGGAATCCTTGTTCACATAGTCCCTCATAGTTTGTCGAAACTGCATTTTATCTAGCTTGTAAAGCTTAGTGAGGCAGTTCTGGGCCTGCAATGAAGCAAGAAAAGTGAAAAAGTCAAGAGCATCTACTTAAGTAACCTTTATCATTTCCTTCTTCCCACTCTCCACCACCTGGAAGTCAGTTGAAAGTAGGGGTCCAAATTCATTTTATTTTGGCTAGTGCTACTTTGTCTATTCCATTCAGTTCCAACAAACATTTAAGCAATTCCTATGTTCTAGGCCCTTTAGTGGGGTGCTGAGGATGTTATGGCAGAAAGAGTGCTGGATCTGAGTGTCAGAAGACCCAAGTTCAAATCCTGAATCTACCCTTTATAACTTGTATGATCTTGGGTAACTCATTTTACTACTCTGGATCTCAGTTTCCTCAACTGTAAAATGAGGTGTTTGGACTAGATGACTTTGAAGGTCCCTTTCATCTCTAAAATGATGATCCTAAATATAGATCTGGCATAGCCTCTGCTCTCAAGAAGTTAACTATTAACCAAGCATTCATGCCTGTGTTAGAGATTCTTAGCAGAGAAATTAATGAAAAACATGAGTATTATCTCCTAAAAATGACCATCAAAATGAAGGGATTATACTAGATAGTCTCTAAGGTTCTTACTAACCCTAATTCCTAAGATTCAATGTACATATATTATCTGGGAGTGACAGGAGACCCTTTAAGCCTCTCCGTTAGCATATCAGTCTATCTGTTTGCTTAGTTAACATCTTAGGGAATGAAATGATCCTGGCTCTGAGGGGATAAATATAAGACCAGTAAACTACAAATTTTATTAGTGACAAATGGGAATTGATAATGATAAGCCCAGCATGGTGGAGGGAGTATAAAGAAAACAACGTAAGGAACCAACAAAAAATGGAAGTTTGAAAAGGGTTACTCCAATGGAAACCCTGAGCCCTAGAAAGCTAGGGACCAACACAAAGATGCCAGATTACGGAAGGCAGATCCAAGGTAATGGGACATATTAAAGACTCTATTGAGTGTGAATGCTAAAAACCAACCTCTTTGATACTGAAACCTGAACATCTTTTAAATTGCCTGGAAAAGACTAACATTTAGAATTACTAGAAAGTTTCTCGTTGTAGCCTTAAATCACAGTTGTATATATAAATGTAACTTGCTTAATAAGAAAATAGGAAGGAAAAGGGATAAGACAAAGGTGGGGGATGATAAAAGGGAAGGTGGATTAAGGGAGGGGGTGGTTAAAAGCAAAATAGACTTTTCAGGAAGGATGGGGGGGGTGGAGAGAGAGAGACAGTGACAGAGAGACAGAGAGAGACAGAGACAGAGAAGAAGAAACAAAAGAAAATGTGACAGAGGGAAATACACAGTTATCATAATTGTGAATGTGAATGGGATGAGCTGACCCATAAAAAGGAAGCAGATAGCAGAGTGGATTAGAAACCAGAATCCAACAATATGCTGTTTACAAGAGATACACTTGAAACAAAGCCACACACAGATTTAAAATAAAGGGCTGGAGCAGAATCTAATATGCTTGGGCTGAAGTAAAAAAAAAAAAAACCAAACCAAGAACAGCAATCACAATCTCAGACAAAGCAAAAACAAAAACAGACAACTAAAAGAGATAATCAGGGAAACCACATCATGCTTAAAGGTACCATAGACAATGAAGTAATATCAAAAATTTTTATAGCAAATTTCTCTAATAAAGGCCTTATTTCTCAAGTATATACTGAGTACAGAACTAAGTCATATTTATAGAAATAAGAGCAATGCCCCAATTGATAAATGGTCAAAGAATATAAATAATCAGTTTTCAGAAGAAATCAAAGCTATCTTAAAGTCATAGGAAAAACTTTTCTAAATCACTATTAATTAAAGAATTGCAAATTAAAACAATTCTGAGGTACCACCTCACACCTATCAGAAATAACAAATGCTGAAGGGAATGAGGGGAAAATAGGTGCACTAATGTACTGCTGGTGGAGTAGTAAACTGGTCCAAACATTCTGGGAAATAATTTGGAACTATGACCAAAGGGCTATAACATTGTGCTTTCTCTTTGACTCAGCAATACCACTACTAGGTCTGTATCCAAAAAAATCAAAGAAAAAGGAAAAGGACCCATATGTACAAAAATATTTATAGCAGCTCTTTTTGTGGTGGCAAAGAATTGGAAATTGAGGGGATGTTCATCAATTGGGGAGTGGCTGAACAGGTTGTGGTACATGATTGTGATGGAGTACAATTGTGTTATAAAAAAGTGACAAAAAAACATGGTAAAAATTATATGACTTGATGGAAAGTGAAATGAGAAGGATCATTGTGCACAGTAACAACAATATTGTAATGGTGACCAACTGTGAAACACTTGGGAACTGATTAATACAATGATCCAAGACAATTTCAAGGGACTCATGATGAAAAAAAATGCTATCCACCTTGAGAGAGAGAACTGATTAACTCTGAGAGCAAACTAAAGTATAATTTTCTCATTTTCTTTATTTTTCTTGCTTTTTTGAGAAATATGGCAAATTTACATCACTTCACATGTATAATTGATATCATATTGCTTGCCTTCTCAGTGGGTGAGGAAGGTGTGAAATGAAGGATAATTTGGAACTCAAAATTTAAAAAGAAAATAAACTAAATTAAAATGTTAAAAATATATGTGTGTATATGCTAAAGTGTAATGTCAAATCCGATCATTCAGAGGTCATTAGAACTTCTAAACAATTTTAGGGAGATTATGGTAAGGGCCTAAAAAAATAAAGTCTTCAAACTGGGTACTTTGTTCCTTTTAAAAAAAAATTTTGAAGGGTTTAGACTTACTGAGTCACTTAGAGCAATAGTGATTAGACAACTTTAGAAGCTGCTATATTCTTTCCTTCTCTAATAGCTATTTCAATACTTAGTAACTTAACAGTTTTCAGTTTCACTTTAATTGGGAATTTCAATTGAACATATTTGCTGGAGGCAGACTGGGCTGATTGGAAGTGTGAAAAGATTTTTAGTTTTTAAAATCTAAAACACTAGAGAAGTCCCCAAATTGAAAAGCTTGGAAATGCTTAGTTTCAAAAAGACTAGTGTTTTTTTTTTAAACAAATTAGGCTTAACTCTGGGAAAATCTATCTGTTTGTCTAGCTAGTCAGCTCATTATTACTGTATTTACTTAAAACTCATATACAAATCTATTTGCTATTATTAGTATAGAAGTAGGCCACATGTTAATGCATGGGGCATTTGCTGACTGAGTTATTAATATTCTGTTAAGTACTGTCTCTGCTCCCCTGAAACTTCTGTGACCTTTTTCTCTCCCCATGCCCACATAAGGGTCTACCATTTTACCAGTATGGGTAAAATAGTTTCTGCTACAGAAATTTCCACCATTGATAGAGATGGACAATTTGGTAATGACCTTTTTATAGTCTTACAGAGTTACCTGGCAGAACAATATATCTTTGAGCTAAGACTTGAATTCAGGCATTCCTGACTCCAAGGCCAAACTTCTATCCATCATACTAAGCTACCTCCCTAATATGGTCTCATTATCCATGAAAAGGTCTTAGTGGTGTCAGCAATGATAATTATCTCTCCTTTTTATGTTGATACAGTTGTATACTCCCTAGAGTCTAGAAACTTAGGTCAAATAGTTGTTGCCAGAGAGTTTTTAACCTAACTTTAATTAGGACAATCACTAATTAACATTTCTCCTTTAACTCCAATATTCTTTCTTATGTACTGGCCCTTTCCATGGTGAGATGGTCTCTTAAGCCCAAAGTATCACTCAAATTGCAAAGCAAAATAAAGGTTAAAAAAAATGGATCTGCAAAAATGGAAGCAGTACTGCTCTTCAACTTTATCATTATTATTACTTATCAATTATAATTACTTATATTATACTTGTAATTATATAATTAATAATTATAATTAATGCTAGTAATAATATGCATCAGAATCTAAGACCAGTTAAAGCATCCAGGACTCAGAACCGAGACTCTGCTGTAAAGCTGAAAATTTTAAAGTGAGTACAAATAAATAAAAAGTTATTTCACAATATAACAAGAGAAAGAAACAGGCTTGGCCTTAAATTAATCAAAGAAACAGCATGCTAATAATGTTGGGTGAATGTTTCAGGACAAAATCTAATATTAATAAAATTGGACTGGCACTGGGTTTGGCAAGATCCTGAAACTCTGACCAGAATTGTGGAGTGATCGTCTGGATTTAGGTTTGTCTATTTCCCCTATTTTTAAATCAAAGGTCATGAGAAAGAAAGCAAATAATCATGTTTCAACTTAAAACAACAGGTGAGAACTATTTCAGCACACACTTGCTTTGTTTTTCAGAGTTTATTTTTGGTCTGAAAGTGAAAGTTAAAAAAAAAAAAGGATCTAGATTAGGGGTTCCCGATCTGTGGGCCACAAGCACCTGAGGGATCTTGCAGTTACTATAAGGGGTCAGTTGAAATCCCAAATATGCATTAAGCAGTGTCATTTTGTAGACTAAACAATATCTTTCAGACATAAATGTTACTTTACAAATGTACATGGATGCTGTTGTGATTAATAAGATAAAAATTCATTTAAAAGAATTACTGAATTCAGAGTAGCTTTCTGCCATCATGTACTTTTCCAATCAATGGACAACACTAATTGTCCAACTACTATTATGTAAGGGTCCCAGAAGCTTTTTGATATTAAGAAAGAGTTCTCACACTACAAAATTTGGGAACCTCTGATCTAGAGGATTAAGATGCAAATGTGTCAGGACAAGTTAAAAATTTTTTCTAGAATAATGCCCACCACACCCAAACTGTAGAGTTTCAAGTTTCATATAGGTCTCAAATCCACCAACTCAGATATCTTGAAGTAAAGATTCAGTTCAGTTCTGGAACAGAACCTTGGGACCTAAGACTGCCTACTAGTACTGTTTGTCCACTTTTCCCACTAAAGGGCATTTTCTATCAATATTAATGCAATATTTTAAATAAAACAAACACTAAATATTTAATCTTTCTCCCCTTTCTGCCCAATAGAGTTAAAACATATGACTATCATATCCAGCCAGGTGATTAAAAAAACACTTGGCTTATGACACTTGAAATTGGTTAAATTTATCCAGTCTTATAATGTTTATTTCAAGCCACTGTTCACACATTCCAATTATAAATCTTCTCACCTATTTGGAGCCAGCCAGACTGTACTAGGCAAATGGCAAAAGCATTTTCTCAATTAAACTTTCCTAGGTCTGGGTTTTGTAATGCCCTGAGATAACTAAGATCATTTATTTTTCAGGACACTGTATATTATTTCTGCAAAGCATTCAACTTAACAGGAACCTATGGTGCCTCATTGTCAAGGGATTCATGTCTAAGCTGGAGGGGGGATGGGGAAGGGAGATGGAATCTACTTTAATTCTCTTACATTCTCTCGGAATACCTGGTGTCTCAGACGATCGCCAGAGAGCCCTCGGTGTCCTTCTCCACAGCCATAGGCACAACCCAAAGATTTTACAATTTTGATGAGCATGGTTAGAGCAAGCCTATGGGTGCTTACAGGTGTGCTTTCATCCTAGTACCCATGAGAAAGAAAAAATGACAATGGTTTACACTCCCATTAATGTCCTTGGTCCAATTCTACATTTACCTTGAATTGACTAACATATCTGAGCCCCAGCTAAGTATGCTGTGTGTGTACATTACACACAAACCCCCACAACCTGGGGAAAGCTAAACTGTTGAAATCCATGATGGCTGCCTTTTTCAAAGTTATCTGGTATAGTTATCTTTTTTTTTTTTAAACAAACTACTCTTCACACTTGGTCATCTTTCTATGATAGTCTTCATGTCCTTAGTGGCCATGAAAAATGCCCAGGTATGATTGTGATGGCAATCACTGAGGAAAGCAAGTACGTTCTTCTTGAAGAGAATAATTCACTAGAGAGCACTTGTGCATGTCAACGTGAGGTGGGGAAAGTTAAGTTTTGAGAACTGATCACAATTTTTTCATCTTGGTTTCAGTTCAGCAACCAACTCTCCCCAGTGATCTCAGAGCAGAGGTTCTTAATCTTTTTTTGTATCATAGATTTCCCCCTTCTCCTGACCTGAGCCTTTGGCAGCCTGGTGAAGCCTATGGAGCCTTTCACATAATAATTGTTTCAAATACATGAAACAAAATAATAGGATTTCAAAGGAAATCAATATAGTTTCAATATAGTTATCAAAGTATGAAAAAAAGACTTCAAGCCAAGAACCCTAATTTTCATGTAGTGACGATCTTTAAATTTTCACAAAATATACATTCAAAAGCAGAATGAGATGTAGAACCTTTAGTTCATCTTGGTTCTCTCCTTGGGGCTAAAGAAAATGGTACCAAAGTGCCTGTATACATGTGGCTCCAAACTCAGAATTACCCAGTCAAACGAGCAGGGATGGGAGTCAGGTATTTGTGATGTGAACATTTGCCAGCAAAGGGACTTCCTAAAGCTGCTTTAGAAGTAGCATATAATGCTGCTTCTGATGCATAGGGTGGCTGCTAGGTGGCGCCATAGTGCACAGAGCACCAGGCCTGGAGTCAGGAAGACTCATCTTCATGAGCTCAAATCTGACCTCAGACACTTCCTAGCTGTATGACCCTGGGCAAGTCATTTCACCCTGCTTGCCTCAGTTTCCTCATCTGTAAAATGAGCTGCAGAAGAAAATGGCAAACTGCTCCAGTACCTTTGCCAAGAAAACCCCAAAAGGGGTCATGAAGTGCTGGCACCCAAAAATGAATGCATATATTTGATGCTAGCCCCAAGCACAGTTTATGGTACCAGCCTTAGACGCAAGATTCCTAATAATAACTCTTGTCAAAATTACATAAAATGTAGCTACTACCCACACCATTTACCTTAAAGACTTGCTGGTAAAGGGTTATAAATGGCACTATTTTATTATCAGATGAAAAAATGTTGTATAAATATAATATTAATATTTCAGGGTCATCTGGTTAGAATGATCTTTGTGATCACATAGAAAAGAATGGAGATAGTTCAGTTATTAGTAGAGAACTCTTAAATTCTTACTTATATAAGTTCATTTATCCCTCGGAGTAAATATGGATGAGTTAGGCAGTTTTTTGGGCCCTACCATGGGAAAGAATAGTATCTTCTGCCTATGGGATATCGACCTGCCAATTTGTCCCACTTTGTGTAGACTTAAAATATAAACACCTTCTGATTAAAGATTGTCTCGTTGTCTTTGCACCCCTGTTACCTAGCACAGTACCTATCACATGGTAGATGCTTAAAAATGCTAGTCCATGGATTAAACTATCAATGCAAATGGAGTCTCTAGTTTTCTGTCCCTTTACTGCCAGCCCAGGGACTTAGTTCTCCATAGGCATGCAAACTTAGTGGGAAGGGAAAAGAGAACGTTAGGTGTTTCCAATTCCCTTTAATACTCAGGAGGAATACTAATACTTAGTAATGTATTAAAGAGAGAATGGAACATATTGCTCACATGTATATTTCTTTTAAGAATAAATGATAAAAAATACTAAACCCCAAACCATTTTAAAGGCCATTCTATCTTTGAAGGCACAATATTAAGGCATAAAATCAGGGTAGCATTTGCTTCTATTCATGCTAACAGACATCACTAGCTTTGGGTGAGGGCCCTGGGGCCATTTTGAAAAGTGGTTTATATGTATTATTTATTTATTGCTCTTTTTGGATAGAACATAAGCTACTTGAGGCCAGGGAATATTGCATTTTTGGCTTTGCATCCTTAGCATCTAGCACATGCCAGGCATACAGTAAACATTTAATACATGTTGATTAATTTTATCTATAAATTTCAAAGTACTTTCTAAATATTAAACAAATTCTCATTTCTTCTTTTCTCTGCATGCAATCTGGACTCAGGGTCATGTTCACAGAGGTAGACAGAAAAATCTGTTTACTTAAAGATGGGGGAGAGGAGCTAGATAAAATTTGGTTATATGATTTTGACCAAATCCTGGAGCAAGTTAGTGGCATAGGGAGAAATCTGACATCCTGCCTTTTTCCTTTTTTTCTTTAACCATCAGAGGATTTGTCTGATGTTCCAAGACTGCTCAATTCAATGATCTTTGAAGTTCTAATGAAAATGAAATGCTGAGGGAAAAAAAAATTCTGTAATTAAAAAAGTCAAAACCAAATATTTCTTGATCCATGAGCAGATTATTTTAAGGAGGCATTAATGACGAGCTCCTCTTATGTCAAATAGCTGACCACAATGTGATTCCAGAAATTACTAGCTTGGCTTTTTAAAAACTGCACAATCATCTTAAAATGAAATAACACAACCAAATTATGCTGAGAGAAATATTCAGCAGCTTAGTCAAACTAGTTAAACATGAAAGACCCGCAAGTGACATGTGTTTTGACCTTTTCTTTCTAGCCTCTTTTGAGCATGTTTAGCAACCTGGTACCATTTCTAGGGCCAGATTCTCACTCTAAGGGTGTAGCCCTCACTGCTTTCTAAAAGACTATAGATAATACAGAAGAGATAAATAGCACATGGAAGAGAAAAGTAATCTGAATTGTTTATAAAGTATCTATAAATTTGTATCTCTATTACCTGAGTTTTTCTTGTTATATCCTATGTAACTACTAGTTGTGAAAGTTAACTGATAACGCCAATGGGCTTTTCAAACTGAATCCATTCCAACCTATACTGAAGTTCAAATCATTGTTGCCCAAAGTAAGGTCTGGGCCATCCTTGAAGGGTCCTCTGTGATGCTTAGGGAATTGGAGGGGAAGGGATAGACTTTAGGATTCCTCAGGGGCAGAAGATGATGTTAAGGGTAGGAAAAGAATGAAATACTGAAGAAGAGGGATACACAAAAAGATAAGAAGAAAAATGAGAATCTAAGGGCACAGTGATTGGCAGTCAGGAAGCAAACACAGGAAGTAGTCTGACTCTAAAGGCTGACTCATGAGGAATATGGGATGAAGGAAGAAAGAGGAAGAAAATTTAGTCATAAGGAGCCCTGTCAGGTGCAAAAAAAAAAAAGAGAATCACTATTTTAGATCTATTCCTGAACAGACTTGTGAATCAGAATTGGCACAGGAAATAGGAAAGTTATATGGTTTGGCTATTAAATTAAAACCCAGATAGAAAAAGGAAACTAATGCATGAATTGGAGTTAGGAATGGTGTATCTAAGGCATAGGAATTAGGCTTAATAGCATCTAACACAGTTTTTATCACTAAAGGCTAAAGGAACACACTGAGTCTGATGACAGAAATGGAGCAGCAACCAAGGGGCCCCATGCTCTTCCCCTTTGCCTGGAGAGAATTTCTTTTTTTTTTTTTTCAGCCAGTCAAAGACAAGGTTTATTAGAACATCTGTCATATTGGGCAGACTCTTAAGGAGTCTGAACATTAGTGAGCTATTGGCTAGATTTTAAGAATCTGAGCAGTGGCTAGATTTTAAGAATCTGAGTGGTGGCTAGATTTTAAGAATCTGAGCAGTGGCTAGATTTTAAGAATCTAAGCCGAGAGAATTTCTTAAGACAATGGTTGTCGATGGTTCCTAAAGTATGCCCTCAATTGGAAAAAAGGTAATGAGAAAGGGCAAGTTGTTGTAGTTTTGGGTTTGTTTGAACTAGTCACTGTCCAGAATATGCTGAAAGAAAAAAAATAACTCTCAGGGGTTTAGTTGTCCAGAAAAATAGGAGCATGTGATTTATGACAACATTCTCATGCAATGCAATAGGAAGTCTGTCGTTGACACTGTCTGGTTGGCAACACTTTTAAAATTTTAAATTCAGAATTTCACCTAAATAATTTTACTTTGTGAAATCAAAGGCCTGTTTTCTCCATAGACTGCTTCCTTATTAGCTAGCAGCCAGGGTGACAGCAGGCAAGACCCTGAAACTTCATATCCCAGGCAATTTTTAAGGACTATACATTACAGAAGAGTTCCCAAAATACATCAGTAGAGGGAGTTTCCACACCTGGAGTGTCTTTAGTAGAGTGTCCCTTGAAGGACAGGGACTGTTTTCATTCTTTGGCTTTGCATCCCTAGCACTTAGCATGGTGCCTGGCACATAGAAGGCACCTAACAAATGATTATTGGACTCAATAACATGTCCAGACCCAATTACATGCTCCCTACCAATCAATAGTCGGTAGTTATTGGTATAGTTCAACAGATATTTTTGCCAACAAGAAGTGAACATAAATGAGAGATTGTATCTGAGTATGACTTGCAAGTGAATTCAACCATACCTTCTCTCGGTTCTTATCATTTTTTTCGTAAGGGCCACCTCCACCTCCTCCACCACCACCTCCTCCTCCTCCTCCTCCACCACCTCCGCTTCCTCCTCCTCCATCACCTCCAGCAACTCCTCCATCACCACCTCCGCCTTCTTCTCCACCTCCATCTCCAGTTCCACTAACCAAGGGACCCCCAAATCCACAGGTTGTGCTTCCAGAAGGTCCTTTGAGCTGAAAGGTTCCTTCACTTGGCCTCTTTTCTGAAGTCTCATTTTCCTTGTTCTCACTTTTCTTTCTGTTCTTTTCTACACAGGGGACCACACCAAGCTGAAGCAAGCACTCAACAATGTTCAGTGCCACATCACAGATGCGAGAGCTGATGTCATGGTTTAGGACAAGATAAACAGCCTTCAGAATCACCTGAAAAGAAAACAGCAAACCCCTTATAAAATTATTGAGTCACCTGAATTACTCCAATTGGGTCAAACAGTCAATCATTCTTTATTAAGTTTCAACTATATACCAGGCACTGTGCTAAGCACTGAGGATACAAATAACATTAAAAGAAAACACCAGTCCCTGCTTTCAAGAAGCTAACAGTCTTGGGGAAGAATTTTGTTAATTTCCCTTAACACAATTATGAGTTAAGAATTCTTCATGGTTTGTGAATTTTATCTGATGTCCAAGTAGTGTTGGACAGGCTGATATGGCCTTTTGCATAGTGCCATGCCTAGGCTGTTTTTATGGTGTTGGGTTTTAAAAGTGTTTCATTAGTCAACAAAACATCCCGGAGTTTATATCTTCCAAAGAACATCAAATGTATTATTGATATTATTCTTCTAAGTTTTCCCAAAATATTTGTGAGGAGCAAAGGATATTTTTCCTTTCCTGATGGGAATTCAGGGATAGAGTGTCAGTAGACTTACCAAGTTCTCTATCTAAATAAAAACTAGTTCTGAAGTCTTTCTCTGCATTTAGTCATCATAGTCAGAATACATATATATATATATATGTGTGTGTGTGTGTGTGTGTGTGTGTGTGTATAGATAGATGTAGGTATAGGTGGATATATATGTATGCATGTGTATATACACATACACATGCCTATACATATATACATACATGTATACACACATGTACATACAGACAGACATACATATATCCACCTATGCCTATATCTACTAGGTTCATTGAATAGAGTACTGGGCCTGGAGTCAGGAAGACTTGAGTTCAAATCTACCCTCAGAAACTTACTAGCTATGTGAACCTGGCAAGTCACTTAACCTGCGTTTGGCTTAATCCACTGGAGAAGGACATGGCAAGCCACTCCACTATTTTTACCAAAAAAAACCCCCCAAAAAACAAGAAAAAATGGGATCATGAAGGGTTGGACACAACTGTGTGACTGAACAACAAAAACATATATAGATAGATATGGACACAGATATTGATAGGTGTGGATTGATACAGATATAGATATAGACACAGATATATAGATAAAACATATGTGTAATATAAATCTGTATGTCTCTTTTAGGGGTAGGGAAGACTGTATCTGTGACTTCATTGGCAGAGAAAACAGGTCAGGAAACTCCTTTCACTAATACAGATCAGTTGCTCTGCATTTTATGGTCAAGAGGTAGTTGTCCAGTCTGCTAAGAAGTTAGATAAGTACCTTGTAGTAACATTGAAGGACTTGAACCCAGATCTTCCAAATTTGGATGCCAGCCCTCTATAAACTCATATGTAATATGGATGTGTATATTTGTGTGTGTGTGTGTGTGTATGTGTGTGTGTATGTGTGTGTGTGTGTACACATATATATATAAACACAGACATATATAAACTCATATATAACATGGACGTGTATGTGTGTGTGTGTGTGTGTGTGTGTATACACATAGATATATATAAACACACTATCCAGTATCCTAAAAATCTTAGTGTAATAGCTTAAAACTGTATTAAGAATTTGGAACACCCTATATACACACAAACATACGTACACATGAATATACCTATATATAACTATATCTATCTAACTAACTATATGTAAGACTCTATCTATAACCGTAGTTCTAGATTGTGTATAGAATTACTAGTACAGAAATTTCCTCCACTAGTACAGATTGATAATCCTCATGTAAATTCAAGTCTTAGAGAGTTGCCTGGGACAGTGAGATGTTAGGTTTGTCAGTCAGCCAATTAGCACTTATTAAGTGCTTACTATATGCCAGCCACTATGTACTTGCCAGGAGACTTGTGTATGGTCACATAGTTAGTATGTGTCAAAGGTGGAACTTGAAGGTCAGTCCTCCCTATACACTGAGGAAATCAAAGATACTTAAAGTTTTCTGTAATATAAATACTCTACATGATAAGAGGTAGTTTTGTAAAAAGAATTACATATGAAGATTTATTCTTTTAAAATTCAATTTTCCTTGAAGTTCACCCTTTTCCCTTTACTTCTGGTGGCTAACATAATAATGACAATAACAAGAATTGTTCTTATTTGCTCACTCTAAAGCATAATGAACCATTATAGCATAATGAAATACTCATTTGTCACTTTATAGCATGAGAAACCTTTATCTTTTGCTCCTTACCGAAAGATCCAGCATGCCATTCTTGTGGACAAAATTGTTGGTTCCGTCAATATGTTCAGTATCCTCTAAATAGCTGTAATTGATACAGGAGTCGGTTAAGCTTCGGGGCAGATTGGCACATGCCAGAGGTTCATGGGGCATCTCTGGGATAGGCACCTGATTGCATAACTTCCTCATGTGCTCACTGAAAAAGTCTGCATAGCCCACATTGAATGATGCCAGGGTCGTGTTGAAGGTTGCCACTGTGATGGTGGAGATCTGAGATCGTACTAGGAAACAGAGAACAACATCTTAGCATTCCTTTCTGAGCCCACATTCTTTCTTACCCAGAGTTATTAAACTGGATGACAATCATCACAGTTCTTGATTCACAGATTCCTGATTTCTTGCTACAAAATTAAAACTGGCCCAAACCACTACAGAAGTCACAAAGATATCACCACTATCAAATACGCCAATACATATAGCAGAGGTCCCTAACTCTTTTTGCGTAATGGATCCCCTTAGCAGTCTAGTGAAATCTGTTGTCTTCTAAGAATAATGTTTTTGACCCCATAAAATAAAATATGTAAGAATACACAAGGAACCACTTAAATTGAAATAGTCCATATATCTCTAACATTATAGATTTCTTGACCTTCCACCCTAACTAACCACCTTATCAATCCCCAATTGTATTTCCATTTTAGCATCCTAGAGGACAAAGTTGAAAAGTGCATGGGTCAAACAGGGCCTTTGCCCTAAAGTGCCAACTTCTGGGTATCATGCTTCCTCCCTATAGCCACCCCAACTATTACCCAGAGGTTCTTCACTGGCCCCAGTTGCTGCCTGGGATATCCATCCCTTAGGGTTCTATCCCCATGGTGCCCTCATCTGCTCCCTATCAGTGTGACTACACCTTTGGTCTGTCTACAACCACTCACTCCACCATCAGCCTCAGGTGTTTTTTGCTCCAGGTGAAAATATTCCCAGCTAGTACTCATGTAGAAAATATTAGCCTCTGTGTCTTAGCTATATTCTCATGGGCTCCATGAAGTCTTTGACTTTGTGCCACTAGTTTTGCCAGATGCTATTAAGTAGCTACTGCTAGGGAGACGGAGGGTAGGAATCCTTTTAGAATGAATGCTAAACACAGAACAGAAGAAGGCATTTTCACTGAAGGCATTTACATAATAACAATTCAGAAATACCAAAAGAGCTACAACTCTCAATTCCTACTCCCTTTAACTCTGTTTTTCTGTTTAGGACATACCTTCTTTGACGGTATTTTCTCCATGGCTGTTTGAGTGATCTGGTAAGTCACTGACCAGAGTGTGACGAGAGTGGGAGTGCCTGGCGCTCAGAGTCTCCATTTCAGTGGCTGCGTCAGAACTGCCCCGTCTGGTGAACTTGCCTAAGGTGAACAAAAGTAGGGTTTTAAAAACTGTAGAAGATTCTGTTTGATGACTGAAAGGAAAGGTGGGAGGAGGTCGTGGTAGTGAGAAGTGGATGGAGCTTTGCTGAACCACAGAAAATCGTACTGTCTTTGACAAGAGGATCAGGATATGAAGCTACCTGAGGACAGGACAAATCTAGTCTCATGTGGATTTCAGCAACCTCCTCTTCTGCAATAGGCCAGCTATTAGTTCTTGGTGTCAGCTGATGTTATTACTTTTTTTTTTTATTTGGACTAGTGATTTCACAGGTGGGCAAATTCCTGGTGAGGAAACTCACTCAGCCTCAGTAACTCTTCTGCAGTTTATAGCTTTTGAGAGTTTCCTGGGGGCACAAAGAAGACAAGTGACTTGCCCAGGGGCACACAGTTAATATGTCAAGTTAGGAGCTAAGCATGAACCCAAATTTTCCTAATTCTGAAGCCTCAATTGACCGCTATCCTTCACTTCTTTTATTGTTTCCGTTATTACATTATTTTTTTTAAAAAGGTATTTGTATATATCAGGGTTATTGGCCTAACCTCAGATCCACATTGCCCCTTGGGCCTTTGGAGCACTTTAATACTAGTCCTCCAGAACCAAGTGACTTGACAGTTTACAATTATCTAGATCCCTCAAGGAAAAATCCCAGACAATTACCTATGCTCTGTTTTGGCTGTGAAGACATGGAATTATTTTATACTTGGGACTTATACTTTAGTTCAAGATCTTCAGTCTAGCTTCTCAAGAAATACCTTGAATCTCTATATTCTTGCAGCACTAGATTGGAACATCAAGAAAAACACTTAAGCTTTGCTGTCACCTAATATGGTAGTTTGCCAGCCTCCTTTCTCAATGCTACGTCTGTCTTCTCCAAGCCCAGAGAAGCTCCCAAATGAGAAGGTGCTGCGTGTGGGGGACACATCCAGGTGATCTTCATGGAGCAGGAAAGGCACCCCCATTCGACGCTGTCTTCTCTTGCCTGTGTGGTGAAATGGGATAGAACCTTTGCGTTCTCGTTCTCGATCTTCCTTGCGACTTTTAAACTGAGAGAGAGAGAGAGAGAGAGAGAGAGAGAAGATGACAGGAAAGATTACACACAGTTCAATCATCCAGACCTTAAAATTGGCAGTAAAAGGCAGTCAGTATTCCAGGAAAGGGACAGACACGGAACAAACCATCGATGCTATCCAAAATAGAGCAAGGGAAGAAGACATGTATCTTTCATTGAAGAGTTGACTGGCACACGTCTTCCCTTGCTCTATTTTGGACACCAGTGACTCATTGTCTATCCTTTTCCTGGAATGCTGCCTACTGCCTAAAAATAATGAACAAAGATAGGCACAGATAGTTTTTTTCCACTCATTTATACTTGTGCCTGTTAGACCAGTTGAGTAGAACACAATAGCAATAAAGCTAGGGTAATGGGTATAGTACCATGAAGGCCAGTCATCTTTGCTCTATACTGAAGCAGTCAATTTGAAAATACGTGGCATTAGTCACAAGGGGAATTGGGCGAGATACGATAAATGGCTACATGAAAATAAACTATTAGCTCCCCTGGGGGGAAAAAAACCAAATTCAGGCTAAACATATGTAATTGACATACCATCTTCCCATACAAATAATAGTATTCAACAAAATTAGAACTATTATTCTCTATAGGGACATCTGTACTCTTTCCACAGAACAATATTGCCTCCCACCAGGTACCCAGTTAAGTTAAGGCTGCTTTTTTATTTTTTTTATCACCAATAATTAGATATCTTTAGTAGCTTCACTCACCTTCTTAAAAATATTCATGCCCAAGTCTGAAGAGAGATCTGGAACTGCAGATCTGCGTAAGTTGGTCAAGGACATTTTGGAAAAGGCCTCTGTACTCAGAGATTTTTCCTCCTCATTACATTTCATGGTGAGATCCTTGAAAAACAATAAAGGCAGATATAGAAAAATCAAACCAATGGATACTTCCTGTAAGCAATATTAAGGTGATGCAGTTCTTCTGGAGGTCTTATTTGTGGTTAGTTATTGGGTTATTTGCTTTTAAATTGCCTGTTAAGTATTGAACTTTAAACTTTGACATTTCATAACTACTGCATTTTGTCATTGTAAGAAGATCTTATTTCATGCATTATTAACTTTGTGTCCTAGTTTCTGGTCAATCAGACTGTAATGCTATATATTCTAGAAGCCTGGGAGTCTTATTTCCTGGTTGTATTAAAATGGAAGATTAAGACATTTAGGGGCAATGAAGGCTTTTCACTGCAATGATTCATCCCAGTAGCTACCTACTTTGGCTAGAATTATTTTCCAGCAAGTAAAAGTGCATATTTTTGCTAATTCAGACTCCTCTTCTATTTAGTTGCTATTTCAATCTTTGCCTTCAGAACTCTGTGACTACATCCACATGCTAGTATTTTTCCAATATGTTACTTTCAATAATCTGTAATTTGAAATATTAGAAAGTTCAGATAGATGGATTTTCATCTGTACGATGAGGGTGGGATTAGATGTTTTCTAATGTCCCTTCCAGCTCTAAAACTATGTTCCCATAAGCCCCCTTTACACCACATCAAACTTTCTATACTTTGTTACTTTTATAGCAAAAGATAAGGAAATAATCTGGTGGGTTCATTTTAACAAATTTCAGGATCTGTCATTGGGTAAGGGTAGATATTGAGCACATTTTCTCAGATTATCTATCTCAACAAGCCCATATAATGATAGTTAATGTTTCTTAGTGTTGACCAAGAAACACTACAAAAATCGAGTTGCTAATGTTCAGTACAAGTATAAGATTTAGTATCCATGTGATCCTGGGCAAGTCACTTTAAACTTTCTTAGGCTACATTTTCTCATCCTTAAAGTGGCATCAATAAGTTTTGCTGACACCTCATGGAATTATTGTGAGGAAAGTGGCTTGTAAATATTAACAGGCTCATAAATGTGAATCATTGATTATTTTTGTTTTCAAGTGCTTTGAAAGTTGCCTATTTAATTGTGATATATATATGTGTATATATATATATATATACATACATATATATGTATATGGTTAACTCAGTTAACCAGAATATTTTCTGTAGTAGAGCATTCCATTCTGAATTAATAGAACCTTTAATGTATGTTAGTGAATTTGGTTATGTGTATATACACATATGTATATGTATGTATATATAATCATATATACATACATACATACACACATATTTCTTATTTAAGGGCTCAATTCACTGGAAAAGAATAGTGAAAAGGCCAAAAGTCTAGTGCAAAAGACAGAGAAAGAACAGAAGTTTTCAAGTCAGTCTTCCAACTATAATACACCCTCATACAAATGATAGTCATTTGCGGAGAAATAGAAGAAAATAAATGGTTGGTAATTTGTAAAGCCAGTGCTCCAAAGTGTAATGAAGGAGAAAGAATTTTTCTGACCTGGGTCTTATGAGTGTTCACTAGTGAGGGAGTTGCTGCCACCATGGAACTGCTGCGAGGTCTGGGTAGGTGCAGAATCTCTGGTTCTGGAGACTTTTCTGGCTTCTCTTCTAACATGTGCCTTAATCTCTGCAGATAATACATCAGGGACCATTGAGTGCCTTCCTCTGACCAATGGGGCTGGAGCAGGCAGCGCAGTACTGCGACATCAAAGTAGGTGGCGTAGCGGGACCTTTGGCAAGGAGGTATCACCAGAGAAGCTCTGTTCCAAATCAAATCAACCAATCAGCAATCATTCAGTAGACATTTAGGAAAAAACTTGTCATGTGTCATGCATTGTTGTAGGTGCTTGGGATACAAGGACAAATAACCACTGTCCAGAAGGAGCTTACATTTTCCTGGACAGGGTTCTAATTTCATTTGTTCATTCAATTATCTATTCACTCATTCATTTATTCATTCATTCATCTATTCATTTTTTGCATCATGGACCCTTTGGCAATATGGTGAAGCCTATAGAAACATCACAGTATTTTTAAATGGATACCATAAAAGACATGAGATTATAAAGGAAACCAATTATATTAAGATTTTTTTAAAAAAAGTTCAAAATCCCCAGGTTAAGAACCCCTGTCCTAGAAGGATCCAACTTAATCACAGATAAGTAAATCAACATACATTAAAAAAAACACAAAGTGATTTTTTCAGTGACTAGAGGATTAATAGTTGCGAGAAATCAGGTAAGACCTCTTGAATTTAACCTTAACAGAAGCTATGGGTTCTAAGACAAAGGGTGATCACTATTAAGCTTGTTAGCAAAGTCCAGCTTAACTATGTGCCTCACAAGATCTCAACAAATCTCAAACATAGCTTGTGTGATAAATTTGGAACTATCTCCATTTTGCAATGGGGTAGATTTCTGGTGCACCCAGGAAATATCTATGGAAAGTCACATTCTAGATTTAATTGTTCTTCAGTATGCTTTCATCCTATTCCATCTAATTAAAATACATTTCAAATTCTGCTCAGATTTTCTTAATCCTTTAATGTTAGATCTTTTGGTCAGACAACATGGATATGATGGGTTTTCCTTGTCAAATGTAGCCGTCAAAAGGGCTACCTGACCCTGACCTCATAGTTGGATCAGGTTCAAACCAGTTGGAGATGGTATTGTGGTCTCTTTGGAAACCTCCCATCGATGCACCTGGAACCCACTGTTCTGACCAGACGTCACCACTTCCTGAGCCTCCCCAGCCCTCTCTATGAGCTTTTCGTTTTTATGCAAAACAACTAATGTAACAAATTCTCAAGGCTGAGCCTTCCATACTTCCTCCCTATGGGAACCTATTTAAACCCTGCCCTCTCTGCCCCTGCCAGGCACTCCAGTACTCCAGGGTGTCCCAGAGGGCAATTCCCTTGCCTTGATTAAAGTCACTTGTTGTTGGTACTTTGGTAGTTTTTTTTATGTCAGGTTGACATCTACCCTTAAAAACATAGACTCATGCATCTGGATCAAAGACTCTTGTCTTTGCCAAAAGTATGGGTCAAAAGTCATTTTTTCAAGAGCTAAGCACATTTTGTGCTTAGAAACAGGGCAAATAAAAATATCCCAAGTCCTTGAATGCTCACCTCAATTTCAACCTCTACACCACATTTCCATACAAGTTAAATCAGATTAGAATCTCAAGACTTGAAGGGGAGAAGTCACAAGTGGGAAGTAGTCTAAGGAGGGAATCAGGAAGTGAAGAGGCTCAGTCCCATAACTTTGGTTATGGGTATCTTGGTATCAAACTGGCCTCTAGGAGCTATAAGTCCTTCAAAGGAAGGGAACATTGGGCAACTAGCCTAATTCTCATAGTTAGAGGACTATTTTTAGGTGAAATACAGCAAATGAATGGTACACATTATAAATTAGGGATAGGAACTGGACCTGTGATTTCATTGGTATAGGGAACTCCCAGGTTAGGAAACTTCCTCTATCCATTCAGGTGGGCTGACACCTTCTCTGTAGTTTAGAGTATGAGAGTCTCACCTAGAGTACAAAGAGGTTAAATCCTTTTCCAGGATCACACAGACAGTATACGTCAGTTTAGGATGTGAACCCAGGTCCTCTTGGCTTCAAGGCTCTCTACCCACTATAACATGCTGCTTCACTTCATCATCATAGGGTGACCCTCTCTCCCTCTCTCTCACTCTTTCTCTCTCTCTCTCTCTCTCTCTCTCTCTCTCTCTCTCTCTCTCTCTCTCTCTCTCTCTCTCTCCCCTCTCTCTCTCTCTCTCTCTCTCTCTCTCTCTCTCTCTCTCTCTCTCTCTCTCTCTCTCTCTCTCTCTCTCTCTGTCTCTCTGTCTCTCCTCTCTCTCTGTCTCTCTGTCTCTCCTCTCTCTCTCTCTGTCTCTCTCTCTCTCTCTCTTTCATCTCCAGAGAATATTCCACCAGGCCAAGACTATATCTACATAATGATAAACATTTGAATAAATATTTATATACCAATCACCTCACATTCAGGTGATTCTAAACATCCAAACATTTACTATCCTGCAGATAAAAAAGCCTGGATGTTAGGCTGAATTTTAAAAATTTCCCTGACATCTGGTATTCTGCACACATAGCTATGATGTGGAACTTTCTGGCTATAGCTGAATCAAACCAATCTCACCTCTCTGTACTAGATGAAGTAATACCATGCCTTCCACGCTTTTAATTTACTATAAGGCCTTGAACAGTTCTCTTTGACATTCTTTATCTTGGTTTGCTTTTCAATTCAATTCAACAAGAATCTATTTGGTACCTATTATGTGCACTGCACTGATGAAACAAAAATGAAATTAGACACAGTCCCTGTCCTTAAGGATTTATAATCTAATATTTATAATGGATCCATGATTTTATCAATGTAAGTATTCCCTTCCTCCATGCAGATGCTAGTCCATCCATACTTTTTTCATCCTTTGCTAATTTTATCCAAATCTTTCCATAAATCTTCCGATGATGATCTACCCCAATGAACCAGAGACCTTCTTCTAGTTATTTTAATATGACAGATACAATAAAATGTGAAGAAAAATGGCAGTCAAATGTGATAAGTGAGTGCTTTTCAAAACTTAAAGGTCTGTATAAATGCCTACTATTATTATTTGAGCAACAGAGCACTGCAAAGTGCTCAGAGAAAATTTAAAAGAGGAAATCCATCATAGGTATGGGAGATGCCAATAATACGATGTGAAGACATGAGCAAGCAAGATAAACAAATACAGAAAATAAGGTAGTTTGATGCAATGTAGAATAAATATAGAGGAACATTGTAAGACAGAGCTGGAAAGGTAGGCTAGAGGTAGACTGGAGATGGCCTTGAATGCCAGTGTTAGGCATCAGGCAGTCACTAAAGGTTTTAGAGGAGAGTGAGATGATTAAAAGGGTGTATTAGGAACACCACATTGGCAGTGCTGTGAAAGATAGATTGGAGAAATGATAGAAAGATTAGTCAGGAGGCTATTATAACAGGTAAGAAGCGATGAGTACCTGACAAAAAAAGTCGGTTGTAGTAGAAACAAAAAATTGGGATGGAAATGAGAGATATTGATTGGAGAGGTATATTCGACTGGGCAGCCAGGTGGCACAGTAGATAGAGTTCTGGGCCTGGAATCAGGAAGATGAGTCTTCCTGAGTTCAAATCTGGCCTCAGATCCTTCCTAGCTGTGTGACCGTGGGCAACTTACATTACCTTGTTTGTCTCAGTTTCCTCATCTGTAAAATGTGTGGGAGAAGGAAATGGCAAACCACTCCAGTATTTTTCCACTTTTTTTTTTTTTTTGGTGAGGCAATCAGGGTTAAGTGACTTGTCCAGGGTCACACAGCAAGTAAGTGTCAAGTGTCTGAGGCCAGATTTGGACTCAGGTCCACCTGACTCCAAGGCCAGACTTCTATCCACTGTGCCACCTAGCTGCCCTGACTCCAGTATTTTTGCTAAGAAAACCCCAAATGGGGTCATGAAGAATCAGACATGACTGAAACAACTAAACAACACTCAACTGCAGTTGGTAACTAATTATTTATAAGTGATTATATAGAGGGAAGAGACAAAGATGATTCTGAAATTAAGAGCCTGGGGGATGGTGTGGATAACAGGACCATCAACAGACATACAGATATTAGAGAGGCAGGTTTAAGCAGGCTTGCCTATCATACATATCAAGGAATAATAACAACAACAACAACAATAATAAAACAACAATAATAACTTCCATTTATATAGCACTTTAAGGTTTACAAAGTGCTTTACACATTTGACTTCACAAATTACTGTGTGTAAGATACTACTATTATCTCCATTTTACAGAAAGGAGACAATTGAAGCTGAGCTAAGTCACTTGCCCTGGGTCACACAGTTAATGAGTTTATCAGGTAGTATTGAACTTAGGCCTTAGTAACTCCATGTCCAGAGCTTGATCCATTCTTCCTCCTAGCTCCTAAGGATATGAGTATTAGTGAAGTCTAGCTATGATTTGAACTTCTTGGCAAAAAGAACAGTATAAATAAAAGTCAGGCTGGTTACATGTGTAGTAATCATTGGTCTTTTGGAATTGATGCACATGTCTTTTGAATTACTTTAAGGTAATATAGAAACTATTATTTTTAGTAAAAAAAATTTTTTCTTATAATTGCCATCCAATTAAGCTTGCTGTAATTTTTGTATGTATTCTTAATTCAAATGAACAAACATTTGTTAAGTGCCTGGCAAACAGCATCCAATGTGAAGATACAAAGAGAAGACTCAAGTCTCTGCCCTCAAAGAATTTAGATCTTCCTGGGAAGGATATCACATGTACAAAGTGGAATACAAGGTAGGAGAAAATAGAGGCCAAGAAGATATCTAGACAAAAAAAAAATTGGAATATTTGAAAAGGTTGAAAACATTTCACAAGAATTGGTTTCATTCCCTTCCCCCCTCCCATTGCAATGGCTATAAATATTATTAAACATTTCATGTGATTATCCTAGAATTCAAAACAATTCCGCATAGTAAATTATCTATTTTGAGGGATCTATTAACTATTCCCAGTCCCTGGATGAATAGGTAATGCATTGATACTACAGGGTATATAATTCTAACAGTATTCATATCATTTCTTTGAAGTGAGTAAGATTGTCTGAGAGGGGTATTTACCATTTGGTACTCTTTTTGTTGTTTAGTCATTTTTCAATTGTGGTCTGACTCTTCATGACCCCATTTAAGGTTTTCTTGGCAAAGATGCTGGAGTGGT